TTAATGATCGATTCTTTTCCCCGGCTTCAAATGGGAAAATCTCGATAGTCAATTTCGCGCCTTGTTACCTACTGAACGCAGGTGAACGGTGTTGAACACCGGATCCGGAGGTGTACTGTCCTCCTGAGGAAAAGCGCCGAATGAACAGAGAACTGTTGCCAAGTTCCCCGGATATATATATATATATATATATATATATATATATATAACGAAAAGAATGAATTTTTGGACGGATGTAATTAAATCGTCGCTCCACACTGACGTAAGGGCGTATCTTCATTTCCACGTAAGCTCTGTTTTCCCTGAATTTTATGCTTTTGGGGGCTCATGTAGAAATCGAGACACGTCCGCACGCCAAAGGAGCAACGAAATCAGCCTAACGGCATTTGATGTTACCGAATGTATTTTGAAGTTTCATTTTTTTAACAGAGACAAAAGCAATGTAGCTCTCAGACTTTTTGAGAATTTCTGGGAGATTATGAAGAATATTCGCACAACATTTTAACGCACGTAGTCAGGCATAAGTAGTGTCAGTGAAGTCGCGGGAAAAGTTATGGAATTCTGAAATTTCACCAGACCTGCAACCCTGGGTATTTAGGATGACCCAAAAGTTCAACCCCTAAGGCTCTTGCCGCTTTTCGGGGCGATCCCCTGAATATTTTTGGGGGCCCCAAAAATCATTTTCTTCGACCAAGCAACTCCCAAAGAATTTCAAATCTCCATCCCAATTTTTTCACCAAGTTATGAGGGCGGTGCCTGATGCTGTTATTGCTGGACTTTTGGATCATCCTGCACAATCATCGAAAAAAAAAGTGAAGTTGATTTAACATTCTGGATGTAAAAAAAGTGCACGATAACTTATGAAATGCTGAATTACCCGCCACAGCAGTTAGTTTTACATCTTGGCATTGCTAAAGTAGCTACTGTAGCGGGCAATTCAGCATTTTATAAGTTCTCGTACGCTTTTTTTACATCCAGAATGTTGAGTCAACTTCACTTTTTTTCCGGTGAACTTTTGGGAAGTCTTATTTCTTTCAATCAGGGTTTCGGTGGATCAAAGTAGAGTACCTTTATAGACAGAGTATGGCCATTCGTATCTTTTTACTACAGGAAAACTGTTCCGCTTTTTGATTGGTCAACGAGTTTTTAGGCTTCATGATGCTCTTAGGGCCGTATATAAACAAACAAGATGGCGACTCACCGTAACATCGATAAGAAGCTAAATTTGACAAAAATTTCAATTATACGGCAGTAACAATTGGACGTATTTCTACCAAACAGACCTATGTGGAGGTGAGAAATATGGGGTGTGCTCGTCGTAGCTGCATAAGAAGCAATGTAAAAGTGGGCGTGATTCCTTTTGAAGAATTGGAAAAGCGGGATTTTACATTCTATCAAACAGACCTATGTGCCAACTGAGTGCGGGAGTCATGAGCCGCGGGCATGGCAAGAGAGCGTTGTGCACAGGGCTCATGAGTTAAGGGCTCACTCTAACGATCTCCCCCTCGCTCGAGTGCGCACTTTCATTGCCGCTGACGTCACTGGCGCTTTATTATACTCATTCACTCTCACGGCCAGAGAACTAACGAGCACACCCCACATTTCTCACCTCCACATAGGTCTGTTTGGTAGAAATACGTCCAATTTAAACTAGCATATCTACGAATAACACACGAAAAAAAACACGAAAACATTGTTAAATCGCCTTTCATCTTTATCACAGGAGGATGTAAGATGTGCATAACCTCAATCTTGCTTGCTGATAACAGCCATCTTGTTTGTTTATTTACGGCCCTTAGAGCATCGTGTCAGCCTATTCGCTCGCGACCAATGAAAAACCGGAACAGAAATGGCCATACTCTGTCTATAAAGGTACTCTAGGTTTCGGTGGATCAAAGTGGGACACAAATGACGATGATTCGCAGTAGAAAAGTTGCCTGCGCTATAATGCATCGAGACCGCGACTCTAGCTTCATAACGTTGTGTTTGATCGATGCGGTAGCGGGAGTCGGTAGTTTTGGCAACAACTCGATGGTTGTCGGCGCTACGCTAACCCATATGTTGCATGGTTAGACGTAGATCTGGAAGTTACAGGTCTGCATCCGTCATTCCGCACTGTGGCACCATTAATGCCTGGAAAAGAGGGAAACCTTGGCCACCAAGGTATCAAGGTGTGACTGTGTGAGTTTATTGGTTCGCACTTTATTATCCCCCGCCATTCGTGCCCCACCCCCCTCCCCCGAGCTAGCGTCGCGTCGCCGCCGGTCAGTAAAGCCACGATTCCCCAAGCAGAGTGCGACACGAAGTTCTGTGAGCGCAAATATGAAGTTTTAAAAATGGACATGGTCGAATGGGAAACAGCTGTGACTTTACTGCGAAGAATCGATTATTGAGATGTCCACCACCCTGATAATTGGACCGAGATTAACAGAAAGGAACCAAGCCACATCAGCGATTGCCAAGTTTAACTGGGCAGTTATATTTTTTACGAGAGAACGGTTGTTCGGATTCCTTTGAACATTTTAAGGAATTTGTTTCGCACCACGGAGAATTTTCACTGAAATTTGCACGAAAATCCACACAACCGTTTTCATGTAAAAAATTAAATTGCCCAATTAAATTTGGCAATAGCTGATGTGGCTTGGTTCCTTTCTGTTTAACGCGGTCCAATTGATCCCTCTCAATAGGTTTAAGTGGCAGATTAATCAATTCATCACAAATCACGACTGCCAAGCAACTTCGCGTCACGCCCTGTCTGTGGAACCGTGGCTTTAAATATGCGTGTGAGCTTTTGCTTTCCTATCTCGTTCGGCGGAATTTATCGGTGTCTCAACTCGGAAACCACGTGCCACGATTACGTTGTTTCAAAACGCACGCTTCCATTACTTATTCCTTTTTTTCAAGGAGAAACAAGCCCCAATCTTATCGTTCGAAATAATTTTCAAATAATATTTTTTTCATACTGCGATCGTCCACTAGAAGAGAGACCTTATAATTCACGACAACTGAAAATTGAGTTCATGGGTCGGAAATTTACAATAGAAGTCTCATTGGTTCCCTCCGAAAGATCCAAGGAACTTTGCGAAATAAGAGCGTGGTATTTTTTGTAACTGCATTTTTGCAAATCAATCCATTCATTAGTAAGAATAGCCAAAAATTGTTAACACGTCTCAGTTTTTGAATTGTTTCCCTATAGAAGCTTCCTAGACTCTCATGCCTCGTGTGTGTGTGTGTGTGTGTGTGGGGGGGGGGCGCTGGAGGACTCCCCTCAGATCCCCCGGAAATCCTACAAAAATTTTAGTGGAACGACTTGACTTATATGTGCTTGGGGACGTCGAGCCAGACATTTTCATTCATATATTCTATGAAAGAAAAAATACGGTGAAAATTATGTAACCCATTACGAAACATGGAGTTGGGCTCAAATTATGCGGCTCCGACCGATCTCGCATTGCAAAAAGGGCGACTTGACATCATTTGACCGAATTAATTGTGTCTTCTCGGAGCTCACCGTCCGCTCTGAACGGAAAATCAATTGAATCAGATTTGCGAGTGATTGCACGCTAAAACAGACAGTTCGAAAATGGAAGTTCCATGACCTGATGTATGATAAGACTATATCGATTATACATGATATGAATCGAGCATGATAAGATCCACAGCGCGCAACAGTCAAGTCCAATTGTTAGTGCATTTAGTTGCATAATAGAGCTGAGTTTTGTTCTAAATTCAGTTCCGGGAAATCAAATTCTCGCTGAAAAAATGACCGCCGAAGTCGCCAAAAATTCTACTCCGTCTCAAACTGAAAAATATCCTCCACGCGTAACACTGATTACTCCACAAGAGACTTCACTGGTGACCTCATAAATTACGTCATAGATACCAGTGATTTTACCAATGAGTGATACGAGGACGTCAACGACGGTGACTTACTTCAAAACAAAAATACGAACCCCATGTAAATTAAAATAAAAAAAAAGTACCGGCGTTGGAAATGAGCAGACCATCCGAGACAATTCGAAAGACATATTCCGCTTGCTCCCTGCGTTAAAAAGTTACCTATCGAGGAAAGATGATTCTCTGTGAACTTGAAACGAGCAAAGACACGATTTCACGGAGAGAAAAGAAGCTGTCGCTCTTACAATGCTCATAGTGAATTTTAGGTCCTGCATACTTTTTCATTCGCAGTTACCTCGTTACTTTTGTACTAACGATTCTTTTGGTCCCAGTTACAATAATTATCTGTTAGGACAATTGTAACATTGTAACTGCGACAGAAAAGTAGATAAAGTACTCTATGAGTATTGTAAAGACAATGATGCTTTTCTCTCCGCGTTCAAGTCACCAGAAATCTCAAAATTCAGGGAAGTCAGCGGAGCCCGCATGCCATAAAAAGTGCCCCTGATGACAAATGGGTAATGAAAAGACAATCGCCTTATTAGACTGTGCCAGAGATTTATTTTTTAATTGAGTCTTTTAATTGATAATTAAGAACGTGACGCACTGAAGGTCAGCCTCCGTCGACTACGAATTTTGTCAACGGGCAGGATCTATTTTTTGCCTAGCCGTTAAAAAGAAGGCGAACCACTCTTTGTTGCTCGTTCGGGACTACGGATGGTAGATCTCTCTCGTGCTAGGTACGCCCGTTGTTTCCCTTGCCTTTCTAAAGTGCTAATGGCTTTGTTTTGATAAGGTACCTTTAATTAAATATATTTACCAACCAACCAACTTTCATCCCAACGCTTAGGATATTTCCAACCCCTCATACTTATTGTCAAAAAAGTCGTAGTTACGTATTGTTAGTAATTCAAAAATTTTTATGTATGTCGCAGGCAGTTTGGCAATCGCCGGCAATTTATGTTTACTTTCTCATGCATAGTATATTCATATAGTCTATTCAATTTTTCGTTTAATTGTTAAGTTTTTTTTTTTAAAGTTGGTGTAAGAAACTCTCATTAAGATATGAAACTAAATTACTCGGGGTTTTTTTTCTGTTTCAGATATTGGAGTGGCCGTAGGCAATCAGTTACAATTTCTTAGTAAAGATGGCAAACTTCTAGGAATAGCAGCAGAAAAGTATACTGACATGGCGGCTATGACTTTTGATCCACTACATAATCATATTTATTTTAGCGATTCAAAAGACTCACAATTCAGTATTTTTAGACTGAAACTAGACAACAGTAGTGAATCAAAAATAATCCAGCCCATCGTGTCAAGTGAGTCTCATTCTTTTTCTTGATTTGTTTCATTTATATATTCTTATTTTTATTTTTCTTAATGCGGTTCCTTTTAGGACTTGACAAGCTCGATGTCAAATACAAGAATTGGTTCGTGCAAATTGGTTCGCTGCAGATCTACTACAAATCCGTTTACTTGATCAAAACACAAGTCATGAAATCCCGGCGGCGGACAAGTAAAAAAATCATCACTTTTTCCGACCATTCCCTCCTAAAATTGACACGTTCAATATTAAATTCGCTTATAAAAAATTAAGTAATGACTTACTCCTCACAAACATGATTTACACCCGAGATTTCAATAGGAATCAGCATTTTCTTAACTTAACTGCTTTATTAACAGGGCCGGATTTACCTACTTGCCGCCTGTATTGTGCCGTCCCCCTCTCAGTCGTTTTGTGACATCAGTGAAAAACCATCAAGTGAACGTGCCGGAGGGAAATGGGTGCATGAGACGCGTTTACTCGTGTTGGACACATTTTTTGCGAAAGCCCTATCGACACTACTAGTTAAAGTTCACGGAACTTTGCGCAAAAATTAAGTTCCGTAAACCTATCTCTGTGTGGACAATGCCTTGCATTTATAAGAAATGAACGAAAACATTGTGAAAGAACAAACATTAAATGGGGGTTAATAATTTTAACTTCCGCTTCCGTGCCGCGCTGACTGCACTGTGTTTGGCGCAATGCGTGAAGTATTCATGCAGTCTTGTAGGCGCTATGCGTTTCAAGGCTGTCGCTGCTGCCCGCACTGTGTTCGACGCAATGCGTGAAGAATTCACGCAGTTTTGTAGGCGCTACTAGGTATGTGTTACATGCCGACCGCCGCGCCTAGGGCTTCTTTTTATCTCAAGTCCTCGTCATCATTGCTCTCTGCGCCGCGCCGCGCTGTCTCTTGTATCACCGAAAGACGACAAAATAGAAATTACTACACTCTCAGGAAATAAGAGATTTTGTTGCCTTATCTCGTTTGTAGTTTTTTTTCTGAATCCGATTTTGTATACCTACAATTAAAAAAATTGCAAAATTCGCCGCCATGGGCCGCGGCCCATGTGGCCACCCCCTAAATCTGGCCCTGTTTATTAAGACGACCCGCGTCTACAAACAAGCCCTTGGAGGAAATCCCTGCTGTATGTTTTCCAATCATACCGAGCCGATTATTTTCCAAATCACGTAAGCGCCAAAAGTGCGAATGCCAGAAAAACGATGAAAACCGCTCTATTCGCTTTGCTGACAATCTTCGAATTCCAAAAAATGTATGCTCTTATAGGAGACTGTTCTGAAATCAGACACAAGATTGATTACACCAAAGAAAACAGAAAAAACAACTCCTATACCACCAAAATGGAGATTGGCGCTTACGTTATTTGGAAAATAATCGGTTCAATTTAAAACGTTCGTGAGGAAACCAATCCTCTCTTTTACTAGAATAATTTCTTTTCCTACTTTAATTATAATTAATCTGATAATAGGGTAGGGTATCTAATCTTAGTTTTGAATAGAGATTTAAATTTTTGTTAATAAGATTTTTCCAAATTTTAAAAATGTTACTTATCTACAGTTTGTTTTATTAATATCTTTTTAATCAATATAATTTATCTAGACATAGTTAGGTAACTTTAGGTTTAACCTTGTCTGTGGAGGCCGAATATTCAGCTGAGCTATCATCATCGAAGAGAGTCAAACACCGAATTTTCATATTTCGATGAAGGACGCTCTTTTCCGAGGGTTCAATTCCTTTTTGTGCTAATTGTGCGCGTCAGATGATGGAATGCAAATTTCCTATTGAAATCTCGGATATATCAACGTTTTACGACTTCAAAAGCTTTCGCTGTCATTTGCCCATTCGATCTGGCAACATCCACTCCAAAATACTACGTATAGTACTACGATGAGTACGATGACGAATTCTTGGCCTCTAATTGGTCCGTTCTGTTTTGGGTCGTTCATTCATAAATTGCGTAGCGTTCATGGCGCATGCGCAGCACGCCGTGCGGGATGTGGGCACGCATGGGCTGTTTGTCAACAAACCAATATCAACGGCGGTTCTCTGCATGCTTGGTCATTTCGACACACAAAACTTATTGAGTTAAAATGATTTGTGAAATCAAGGGTATCAATATTGTTATATCTTCTCCCAAATTTTAGCAAACATCTGAGGAACAGAATTAGGCGGTATGTCAAACAGTTATTTTTTCAAATGTGAAATTCAGACTTGCCAAAGGTGTCGTTCGTTGATCGAATGCTGTTTAATTTTTTCTCTCACAATCATGCTGCAGCTAGCTGTAGTATTTACATCCCATATACGTATGGATATGTAGACATTATGTTTTCAAAAAAATCGATTGTGTTCAAATTAAGTAGGAATCAAATGTTGAGGTTGGAATTGGTACAATGTAGGTATGATGTGAGAAGATTCCAACCCTGAACTCTCAAGTTTCAGATTTAATTTTGTAATGTAGTAGTCCCCACACATAACAAAAGCCACTTGAAGTTGAAGAGACTGAGTGTGTACCTACATAGCCCACCATTAGTCAAATATTACTTCACTTGGCAGAGAAAAAATAGTTTTCCCCCTTTTATATGCTCCCCCCTTTTCAATGTAAGTATCAGTTGATTTTAAACGAGTTTTAGAAGATTACTTTAGCTCCTTCCCAAGTCCTTCAGTACGTAAGTTTTCTCTGAGCTCCTTTGCCATTGAATGTTAGGTAACTAGGTTAAAGTCTATAAATAACCATGAATTAATGAAGTACACCATGGAGCTTTTTCAAAAAAATCTTATGACTTTCAATTATGTTTCTTTTTTTAAGACAAGTTGCATGCAATAATGATCATTAATTATTAATTCAGTTTCTAATGAATAGTTTCTGATGTCTACTTTCAGGACGTCATGATGACAAAGAAGTGCAGGGAGTTGCTTTTGATGCTGTGACACTGTCCTTATTTTGGAGCACTGGGGTTGGTCGCACCATCCAACGTTTAAAATTACTGTCGCTTTTCACCGCTCAGCCTCAAGAAGGAGAAACTATTCTGCAATTAGATGAACAAGTACCTCAAGGATTAGCAATAGATAGCTGCAATAGGTAAATATCGGTACTTATTTTTAAATATTTTCATCAGGAGATTCTTTTACGTGAGAATTCCTCTGGGAAAGGATGTGGAAAGACAATATAGGCATCCTTCCCAGTAAGTTTGGGAATGAATGCATTTGTAAATCACATCCCTAGACCATCTTGAACCAGCCAATGAGAACTTAAATATTTTCAACTAGAAAGCTGCCTCATATTTCCTTTTCCTGTTACCTACCTAACCCTTGTTCCTTTTTTTATTTTTAAAAGTGGTTGTCAATTTCTTTATCCGAGCTTCCCCAAAATACCCAAGCATTGAACTATGATGACTGTAAAACACTTTACAGGTTGTCAAACATCCTACTTAGGACCTTTCGAGGGTAGAAATACCTAAGACAAAAAAAAAACTATTCAGACTTAAGCTAGCCACAGTGCCGACAAATTATGAATGTTATGCGAGGCATAATAGGCAATGGCTAAGTCCCACTCTGTTGCTTTGACTCCGCTTATCACACTGAAGGTCAGAACACATCGGAACCTTTCCCCTCTGGTTTCTTTGTCATTTCGTCAAAGCAATACTGAGCGGTGTTCCATATGTGAGTGTGGTTGTCATACCTAGTGTCTTTTTGCTGGGTAGAGCCTCCAACTATATTCTGTGTGTGTCAAGAGGTACACTCTGGTTGAAGGAAATGCATGTTTCATACGCCATTCTCTGGAAGTCTGAAGTTGTAAATTTTTCACAAATTTGTGGGATTAGGAGATAATTATTTGACTTAGTTTAACAGACAACAAAATTTTAATAATTTTTTTCTTCATTTTTACAGAAAACTCTATTGGACCAACTGTAACCACAAATTGGCAACTATTGAATCCTCGGATCTGGATGGTCAAAATAATGTAAGAATAGTCAATGAAGATCTATGGCAACCGCTCGGAATAACGGTCGATCAGCACCATCAAAAACTTTATTGGAGCGATGAGCAAGAGAGTTTTGGATTTAAAATAGAAAGAAGTGATCTGGATGGGAAGAACAGAGAAACTCTGATAACCGGCTCTCACCATCAACCTGTCGCATTAGCAATTGATCTTAACTTTGTTTACTGGTCAGACTGGGTTCACCATGCAATCTGGAGATCAAATTTATCAATTGTCAATGATATCGATTTACAGCCGGAGCAGTTTCGGCTGTACAATAATAAAATTCCGAATGGAGTGGTCTCTCGGACAGATTTAAATTATATTTCTAAGGACAGTTGTTCTGTGCTTCTAGAGTTAAAAAGGAAGGTGAGTCCTCATAATTGAATCAGTGAGAACAAAAACACACCAACTTGGTGACTTGAATCTGCTCCGACTTGGACGTTTAAAGTGTCCTTAAGTACTTGCCTCAAGGCACCAAAAATCTTTTTCTTGGACTAACTTCCGTGTAGTTTTGTATGTATCTTGATTATTTTCATTTTTTCGAGTCGGTGTGTTTTCGTTCTCACTGATTGAATTGTCTTTTTCAGGTTTTTTACTTTTAATAACTTAGAAAGCTATTTTGTGCAGAGATCAATGACTTCATAAAAATAGTGGATTTCCCGAAGAAAATACACTGAAAGCAAGCTGAAGCTTTGAAATACCCGAAATTAAAATGATTCAAGGCCGCAAGTGCTCGTTACACTTAGTATCGGCAGACCTGAAGCTAAGTGTTGTGAGCAAAGCTGGGTCGGAGCATGCAGTTGAAAGGAAATCTTCTATTGCCAACTTTTTCAGACTGATTTTAAAGTGCGATAGCTCTATTATTTTAGTGTGCACTTCTCCTACCTGTTTTTGGATAGTGAAACAATATTCCAAAATTAATGAGACTCCATTGTCTCTCTTGACTCGTTCAAAAATGTCCATTGCATTCCAAAATCAACATTAGATCTATCACATATGACCCCTTGATTCTTAAAAATGTTTGCCATTATTTCCAAAGCAACATTACATGGACTGAATAGAGTCTAAATGTTACCTATCCACGTCTTTGTTAATGTATGTGTGGTTGGTGACCCTTTGATAAGAAATTAAATTGTATCGGTACTCATTTAGCAGCATAATCAATCTCTGGTACACTCTCGCGTGTAATATGCAACTTGTATCACATTTCCAGTGTGCAATTCATATTTTAATTCCAGCTCTATTATTCCAAAACAGTATTGTTTTGTGAGTTCTGTTGAAAATTGATTGGTTGAATTATTTGTTTCACACTACTTTGCGTTAATTGAGCAAACTCTCTTCTAAATTGAATTGACGTATGCAAAAACGTCCGATGTCCAAGACAGTGTTTCAGAATTGAGTGGACATTTTTGTTGTAACTTAACGCCACAAGATGGTTTAAGACATTAAGAATGTAGAACAATTTTATAAATAATCCCTTAAGTGTAATTATACGTTTACAAAAGAGATCGATCCTATTCATCAGTGTTGTAGGACAAATGAAACCCTTCGCAATTATGAAACCCTGTATTGGGCAACGGACGTTTTCGCATCCGTCGATTTAATTAGCAACGGAGTGCTTTAATTTCCTTTACTTTTTATGTCTTTGTGTCTGGCTAATGCATGTTCTTCTTTTCTTTTGCAGATAATGCTGCCCCCTGAAGAACAGGCCATTCTGAACAAAATTGAAGATCCAACTATAGACAGTAAATTACTGAATTACTGTTTGAACAATGGTTCATTTCACATCAATGGGACGTGTGTATGTCCGAAAGGATATAGCGGACAACGCTGTGAAGTTTCTCTGTGTCACAACTATTGTATTCTTGGGGAGTGCTCCCTGGATCAAGACGGTTATCCTTCCTGTGCCTGTCCAATGAACCGAACAGGATTGCGATGCCAAACTGATTTATGCTATAGCATTTGCTTGAATGGAGGATCATGCGTGATACTTGGTGTCAACAAAACGGAGTGCCAATGCCCAAGTGGGTTTTTTGGGAAACGATGTGAGATGAGAAGTGCGCAACAAGATGAACTATGTAAGGCTTACTGTAACTATTATGCTGCCGGTTACAACTATCAGCATTTAGCAAAAGATGATAAAAACGATGGCGTTTTACCTTTGCCACCGCCTTCATGTAGGTAAGTGTATGTGAAAGCTTCTGCCATCTTAAAACGGTTTTACTCATGTTAAGGGTATTAGATTATCCATCAATACCACTGAATTAATAATGAGGCAAAAATCCATGTAACAACCATCTTGAGTCATTTGTTTATTATGAACAATTTCTTTCTAACACTGAGGCAGTTGATGAAGTTAGTCTCTATTTGGAATATTAATACATTATTCATGCTAACATGAAAATTACCGTAAATATAATGTAAAAATACAAATGAGCGAGTCTGCTGTAATGTACATTTTTGTGTCAGAAGCTTCAGAGACCAGCAGCACTGAAGTGAGGTGGCAAAATAAACAAGACAAAATACAATTTTTATACCAGGTGCCATTATCTCTGCTTGGGCATTAAAAATGTTTTCAAAGCCAGCCACTCTCGCCACAAAATAGATAGAAGTAAGGTCGCGGCAGTAGACTGCTTGCCGCTAAGAAATACTAACAACGATAAAGCATGCATTACTGAAAGTCAATATTCTTACTGAATCGGTGTAGATCCAAGGAGACAAAAAATGCAACCAATTGGCTAAATTGCGAATGAACATCTGACCAAATCTTGAACAAAGTGACAAACTTTTATTTTTAGCATTACTCAATATCAAGCTATTTTCTCTTAAAGTGTTAAAGTACAACATTATGGTAATAGCACTTTTTTGAAACTTTTTGTTTTCCTAGGTAACCAGTGCTATGGGTTATAATGAAATTGTTAACTCACAGCAACTTAAAAATAAACACTTTGTTTTTTTTATTATAATGTGAGTTAACAATTTCATTTTAACCCATAGCACTGGGCTACTTAATAAAACAAAAAGTTAATTGTATTCCATGATAATTTAAGAGTGAAAATTTTCAAATGCCAGAGTAGCCAGTGTAAATCAAAGAAAAGAACTTTCTTATTTGCTTTAAAAAGTGTGCAGGCACAAAACCTTGAATGCCAAGAAGATGGTTGTTAGAGTAACTTGCCTCCATACATAGGATTTGGCCCCTCACATAAATTAGAAACGTAATGGTTTGATCATACATTTTTACTCCTTTTATTCTTATTTCCTGAGGAAAATGCACTATTGTGTTTTTTACATTTTTTCATCCCCGCATTTTAAATTAATTGTCTCGCACAAAGATTGTAAACTAAGTAAATTGCAGTTGTAATTTAATCACTATTTATTGATTTTGGTTTATCTTTCTGATTACAGCTGTGATGAAATTAGAAATAGTGAACGGTACGAAATGCTAGAAAACAGTACCAAACTACAGGTAGCCAGTCTGAGTGACTACTCAATCAGAAATCTGAACATGTACTTAACGTCCTCTCTTGGGATAATTTGTGCTGTGCTGCTGATCGTCATCGTGCTGCTGTCAATAAAAATCTGCTCTCTTAACAAGAGGCCAAGGGTCAAAAAACGCTACGTCGTTAACAAAGCGGTGACACCTATGACAAGCAGGCCTGCAGTGCAGCAGCCCTCTGAGTCTTGTGAAATCACAATTGAAAATTGCTGTAATATGAATATTTGCGAGACTGTAAGTACCTATCAGCAAGCATTTTGTTCATTATTGTTCCTCTATTTTATCAACTAATACGTATGTAGAACTCACTCATTCCAGTCCTTTTGTGAAGTGTTATTTTTTTCATTCTAGTCCATAGTGCCTGCAGAAATTTTATGACCAGATTGAATGTTATCCATAGTTAAGGGAGAGTAGTTACATAGCAGAAGTCAATAACCATTGATTATATCACAGAAGAATTTAGATTTTTAGGTCTCTCTGTATCTCCAACATCTTGAACATCCACACTCCACCAATAGGAGCCTCCCTCCCATCAGTCCCACTTTATCTTACCTCTCTACCTCCTCTCTCCTATTCTTTGGAAATAATCTGTAAAACCAGTGTCGCATTCCAAGGATTTGCGCTTTCTCCAGGTGATACTATAAGAGACTAGTCTTTCAAAAGGTGGAGCAAACTGATAATTTTCATGCGAACTGAAAATACCCATGGAATAAAACAGCACAAACTGTATCTCACAAGAGGATAGAGGTATAGCTCAAGGTTGTAAAAGGTCACTATAAGAAAATACTGAGAGGAGTAAAAGAGTGTTACGTCTAATCCAAGGATGGAAGTGTTCAAAAGACCAAGAGTCAGATTAAATCCAGCCTTGCGCAGGGAATATAATGTGTTGGTTTTGGTGAGGTGATGTAGTTGTCTATCTTGAGATTCATCAGGAGTAATTAGCTCCTGAAAAATGATAAGAAACAAAAAGAGTCGAACATTACTCAGAAAGTGATCGGAAACAGTATTTTTCAAGCCAAGATGAAACTTCAATGAGAAGAAGTGAACCATCTCACTCCCTCTCTGTGAGTAAGCCAAATTTAAAATGAAGAGTCAGCACTCTCAACACAAAAAATAAATTCATCTGAAATTCTAGGGATGCGCCAGTCAAGATGTTCGCATAATATTCAGCAGTTCCGTCTCCTCTTTCTCCTTTTTGCCGTATTGGCCGAAAACGTCTCCTTTCCTCTCCACTATGCATGACACAATTCATGAATGGACCTTTTTTAACATTTACAAGGACAAGGTGCAAGTTGATCCAGAGATAGTTCATGCATGTTACTTGTTTGTTTGTTCGATGGATAGCGAGCTAAAAGTATTGTCCATGGTTTGATTCCCATTAATTAAAATTTTTCAAGGTTATTTTTTTTTTTTTTTTGCCTAATTGACCGTAAATAAGAGAAAAGATCACTTTATTATTCTAAAATCAAGTAAGTTTAACTGCACACAACATGATCATGGTATCACAAGTCACTTCATCAATACATGGGAACTCATGGTCCAAAAGACTAAGCCTAAGGGACCATCACGTACCGTGCAGACTGAATTCTGTTAGTGCCTTGTTCATATACTGTTAATAGAGGTTACATTTCATTGAAGACACGAGATCATGGCTGCTTGTAGTTAGAAAGCATTTTGTTTTATTAGAGCCGTCAAAGCTTCTTTGTACATTTTTATACTATTTTCCCCCTTCGAACCTCATTGTTGATCATAATCAAAGTAACTTGTCTGGACTAAAATTTTCTTGTCTGATCAGCTATGGTGTTGAATTTTTTTCTCTGAAATCCAAGTATTCTGTAATTTGGGTGGTCGCGGGAAATAAGGTCAGTAGCTGAAAGAGTTTTGAGAAACTTGCCTTAGAGGTTTTTTCTTTGATATACTGTTAATGCCATGCAAAAAAGAAATCTGTGTTTGGTGTGCCCTGGTAGTTCGACTCGATTTTCTTGAAGGAAATGAAAATAAAAATTACACATATCTGATTACAAGCCGGGTTTTCTACAAATTTAAAAAGTCGAGCTTCGCACCTTCTAATTTCTTGCCACTCATAAGTTTAAGGATGAATTTGACAAACACTTTAAGAATTTTATGGATAAGTTTGGCAATTTATAAATATTTTATTATTTCTTTGGTTTCTTTTTCTTATTGATTGGTATGCTATGTATAGTTAATATTTAAGTCTTAAAAGAAAACTAGTTGAGGAAGGAGAGTAATATGTACCCACTCTCAGAGCTGAATTGATTTTTATTACCTTCAAAAGTTTAAAAATATTTGCCAATTATATCATGAAGGTGATGGTTCTCCCTTTGGGACTCTATTTTTTTATTCCCGTTTCTTTTACCAGAGCTCAGGAATTTTAAGTCGGCGCAAGTGTAAAATGCTGTCAGACGCCTGGTGAGAGCCTAGTGATTATATTCTACCCATCCACTCTCTCAATTCAACGCTATCAGTCCTATTGCTGATGTCTTTGCAACAGCATTTCGACTGTTTGCTGATAGGCGAGTTTTGGTACTATTATTATTCCTGCAATGCTAATTTTATTCTCTTTTCTCTTTTATTTCTCTCTTCTTCCATATCTCTCTTCATTGCTGTCTTAACTTTTTAATGTTGCTCTTCGTGTCTTTTCCATTCCCCATGCATCACTTTCTAGAAAATCAGGAATATTTTGGCATCAAGGAATCATAGCTAATGTCAGTTTTGGTACTTTTTTCAGGAGAACGATAAATGTAAACTCATTCTGTAGCTTCTTGAAAAATCTTGCATTAAAATCTAGGAAAAAGTATTTGTTATAATTTCCTCTTGAGTAAGTAGTCTGAAAGCCCTGGTTATTTTGCTAAATATTTTCTCGAAATTTTTTGGTCATTCCTGTATTCCTTTTGGAGCATTATAAATCTTAAAAATCAAGGAGCTGAGCTGAATTCTTAGTATTCATGACTTACTTAATTCTCATTTTTTCAACTTTTTTTTTCAAATATTCTACCAAAAACACTCTATCATCCTTCTAAAACAACCAAACATTCAAGATGGTTAGACTTTTAATTACGATTAGTAAAGTACATGCTAAAGCATTTGTGCAATTGAATCAGCTCATGGTATTTACCTCATTGCAAATTGGCTCCTTACTTAGCTTTTTGGCTCACCCATATCAAGCACCACCTCTTGATGAGTGATGCAAGGGGTCGCTCATAAAATGCGTAACGCTGTTGGTGAAGAGGGGGGAGAGGTTGAGTAGAGCTTTATGCCATAGCCCATAAGTGTTTCGAGGAGCAGGAAGTGTATCGGAAAATTCGAAATTTAAAGTTGCGAATTTTATGAATGGCCCTTTTACCATGCCAATTCAGCTCTACTCTCTACTTCTTGTATCTCCCTCATGTTCTTGTTCATTCCTTTTCTCCCCTCCAGGATGTCAAATGTTTTCTGGGTAACATTTTCTTTGCTAAAACTTTACCTTTTTAGCTGTCTTATGATTGCGCTGAGAAAAGAGGAAAGAAACCTGTTTCATAAGTCTCTAAAGTCAACATGTTTTGCGTGAACCTCAAACCGACCGGACGATAGCAGAGTTAGGAAAAATGTTGACTTCAGAGATTGAGCATGAGCAAAAAAGCCTGGCTGTTCAAATTTCAATTTTTGTAGATGCATGTTGGTGCTGGAAATAATTTATTTTCTTAATGAAAAAGTAATATCAGTCGCAAAAAGAAAACATGAACCGTAACATCGATTACTGCCTACATTGCAGCCCCCATTTTTAAGGCAATGCAGAAAGCTGCCTCTGTTTGTTCCCACTGATTTCCAAATGGTTGGTAGTTAAATGGTGTCCAAACTTTTAGCCCTTATGAAAAATAATGACGTTTTGTATCTTGGTGAAATAACATAAAATTGAAGGGAAATCCAACGTCATTGCTGCTAAAGGTTAAAAATTTGAGCACCAGCCGACCGCTGAAATCGGCCGAGTCTTTTCAAAGTATTTTCTAAAAATCGCTCCAAAACATTACCCATGTAGTTATTTACTTTATTTTAAAAAAACGAATTGAGGAAGAGGTGAACTTTAGGAGCATTAAAATCTAGGCATGTATATTTCTAGTTTCACAATTAATATACATCAGTATAATGTATTTTTATGTATTGAAAAATTGATTTTTCAGCATGATCTGCTCAGTCAGTTTCTATTATGTGCCTCTTTTCTATTTTTAACTGCTTGTCTTGGGATGCTTTTTTGCTGATATTTGACCGACTGTTTTTTTACATTTCCTGATTTTCCCCCGCCTGGAGGATGTATGTTTATGAGAATTTCGTTCATGTCCAACAAAAATCAAATGATGTGTCGAGCAAGACTGAAACTTTGGAAATCAATTTAGATGCTTTCTGGGTCAACTGCAAAAAACTCTAAAATTGTACAGCAAATTTTTACCAAGAAAGAAACTAGTATGTAGGTGTAAAATTTGCTCTCAATTTTAGTGCTCTTGACAGTTTAGGTCCCTCTAACGCACTTACAAAATTCAAATATTCCGTTTCACATTATTTTATCTTTTTTCTCGCAGTTTTTTCAGTATCTTACTTTACATAGGATTAATGTGTTAGCCAAGCAAAATGTTCTCTGTGCATCATTCAAAAGTATTAACAGGCAAGCTAAGTCCTCTGTTACTTTCACACATTTTTATATTACTATCATTGAGAGAAGTCCCTTCAAAAATGTGACTCAATGGTATAGTCTAAAATCAAAAATGGTAGACCTGCTTTTTTCTCCCTTGAAAAAATCTTTTCTTCATGGTTGTACAGTTTGGAACAAAAATTATTTTTAATCCTTATTCTCCTCTAGAAAGACACAAGTCTAAATTTCAGGCAAATATCCGCAATTTAGTTAGCAATAGGAGCCTAGCAAAAGTTTTATTGAATTTAATTTTTGTAACCGAAGTTTGTTTTGTTTCAGCCCTGCTTTGAACCTGACTTCCGCAATGCCAAGTCATCAGTCATTCACCGAAAGTCAAAGGAAGAGAAAGCTAATCTCCTCAGTGACATGGAGGTTGAAAGTCAAGATGAGAGCCTATATTAGCGTTCTTCAAACAATTGGTTATTCATTTCAGATGAAACGTCAACCAAAAAATTTTACTGACTTGATTGTGATACTTAAATCTTATTTTTAGACCAAAAGTTCATATTTCCACTTTTTTAAGCGTTTACAATTGTATTCAGAGGTTAATTTTGTTTCCTACGAGTAACTTATTTATTTTTTTATTTGTTTGTATGAGATAAACAGAAGTGAAATTCGTTAGCTTCCTAAAATAGTTTATTCTGATACAAACATAGAAGTATTAAATTTGTTCAGTCACATTCTTGTATCATTTGCATTGAATTGGGTGACCCACAGGAGCTTAAATCGTGTCTTAAGTCGAAATTTTACTTCTCATTCAAAGTATCCAAACCTTTGTCAATGCCATGTATCAATGTCAAAAATGCCGTTCCAAAATGAATCAAATGCTCGGCATTTTTATTTTGCATCTCATATAAAGAGGAGCACACACTCACCTCAGTAGAATGCTATGCTTTAGCTGAAAAGCTCATTCTAATGTTCCATTGATGTCGATCTCGTTTGGAGCTCTACAATTTTCTTTTGAAGGAACGTTTCAATGCATAATATATGCAGAAGGTAAAATGATAATAATGTTGAAACCATTGCATCAAAAGAAATAATTTTGGAAAAAAATTTCAGATAGTGACATGCAATGATTAAATCATCGTCTTGTCACAACTAGTTTGCCTTAGTTTTTTTAACTACGAAGATTAGCTGGTGAAATTCTCAGCTCCACCGGGTTATTCATTTCAGAGCATCTTTAGAATGTTAAAAATCTTGAAGCACTGAAAGATTTGAAAAGTTTTTCTGAGCCACTACTTCCCAGTGATACCTTTTCGTGATAGTGTGGCGCTGTGATAGTAGTTGTATTGCCACCATCTAAGATTGAAAGATGATCATTGAAACATTGGAGCTCTTACTGAAGAAAGTTTTTCTAAAAAAATTGTGTAATTTACATCTGTTGAAATTTTGTAACATATCTGTACATCATTTTCCTTTATTTTATGACAAGTGCGTGTTTGTTACATAGTTTTTGTTAAGTTTGAATAACTTATTTTTTCTCTGAATTTTGTGATGAAAAACTTTCTAGCTCCTTTGTCGATTGATTGCTCTAGTTTTTTTTTCTTGTTCTTTTTCTTTTTACTTTGTAGATTAAACCTGATCATGTAATGATGTAGTTAACTTGTTTTAGGTGGATTTTTTAGTGTTTTGTAGGTACCTAAGTATTCAAATTTTTATATTTTGACTTATCCAACTGTATTTGACTATTGTTCCTAAGTAGTTACAATCAAGTCTTGCATATGAATTCAAGCGGAGAGTTGAAGTTCCGTGATTTCTCTCCGTCATTCAACAGTTTCGTGGCCTCTGAAGTTGAAACGAGAGCAGCGGATGAAGTTCCTTTTAAATCATGCCTTTCGTTATTTACCCTTTAATTTTCATAAAGGAAAGATGCTTTTAGCACTGATACCAGGAAATTCATGCAATTAAATACATTGATGCCAAAAGTAGGAAGACTTCTGTTAACGGAGGTATTTAAAAATTTCCCTGCATGTTCCATTTAAAAAAAAAAAAAATAACACCTGATAAAAATGCATACATTTTTCTCAAAAAATTTTGTGAATCAATAATTATGATCAGTTGCTGTTCAAAAAAGTTGAATTTGACAGGAAAATTGCAATATCTTTATCAGATCTTATTATACGTTTATTCAAGTTTTCCACAGTTTTTCAGTTCTAACTTTTTAGGAAGTCTGTGTAGGGAATGATATCTGCAGAACTTGATTGTAATACTTTTTCTCTGCCTTCAAGTGTTGTGAAATGTAAATATTTGTAGTATTTTCTTAGCATATTGTTTTGTAACTATTATCATTTTTATGCCCTTGGATATTTTGTTCATATAAGTTTAATTTTTAAGGGCTAGGCCGTCAGCTCCAGTAGTATTGTTTCAGCTCAATTTTTAGACACCTAATTTCTCTGTTAATAATGAAGGCAAAATGATCTCTATTTCACCCTCTTTCTCGTTGTGCAGTCGTAATGCTCTGCTTTGTTTAATCCGTAAATGTGGCTGGAAGGATCTGAATTGAATCAGAATGTGAAGGTTTAATTTTTTTCTGGACTCTATTCACTGAAATTTTGATTTTAATTTTTGAGTTACACATTTTTCATTAATTATCTATGAGCATTATTTTTTGTGCATTGACCCAGAATGGGTCTCTAAGTAAGGTCTGAACTAGGGAAAACCATCACATGTTTCCTCCTCCAAGTCTAACATACAAAACAATTCATTCAACGGAAAGTTTGGAAATCAACTCCTGAACATGATATCAACAAGTATTTTTAACGCAGATTAAATGGGAGTTAGATTATACAAATGACATCTGTATTATTGCCATTTGGCCATTGTTATTTTTAAACATTTATATCTTGTCTAAGAGTTGATTTCTACACCCCCTTTGTGCGATTCATTTTCTTTGTGAAACTTTGAAGAGAAAATAAAGTGCCCAGTTTTCCAATCCATACCTTATCTAATGACCCATTACTACCATTCGCAGTCCTAACAATTGAACAGTTTGACCATATGATTTGTAATTTTCAATTCTAATTTTTTTTCATTTAAATTTTACCATATGTTTTTTTTAATATTCTAAACATTGGACTCCATAAAAACAGTAGAACAAAAAAGACTAGCAGACCTGGTTCATATAAAATTTTACTGAACTTATTTCAAATGATTTTTTTGAAGACCCATTTTATACTCATCTGTACCCAGGCTCTGTTCCGGAAATGGTTATAAGTGCATTCAGTAATGGCATTACTTATTGATGTTTCAATGGTACCAATTGTATAATGGCGGATTTTTTTTTTTTTCCTACAACTAAATCAAATAATATTTACACATCGTATTTCTTGGTTTATCAATTTGTATTTTATGTTAATACTCAATCTAAAAGCAATGAACAACTTTCAATACCTGAACTACCGTTCTAAGGAAGAATGTTGTATAAATATTCAAGAGTTAGCAAATTTCCTAGGATAAAACATGTAGTTTTGAGGAAAATTATGCACATTTGCTATGGAATTCTCAGACATTTTAGATTAATTTGCAAACATAATTATTCGAAAAATTTGATGAAAAATATTTTCGATTTCCCCAGTAAATTTGGTTTAAATTTGAAATATGGTGACATCTGAAGGTTTTTACAGCCCTCTTCCTTAGCACAATAGTGAAGCTCTCCAGCTACTTATTAAAGGAGTTTTGAGCTATATAAGTGAAGATTACAGTGTATTTTCTAAGCTATGATAAGTATAATTCTAGACCGACACAAGAAAATGAAAGGCCTGTTTTGTCTAAAATCAATAAAATTCATAGGTAAAATGAAATCCTGTTCCCACTGCCTTCTTTCACCTCATCAATTCGATTGATCCCGAGTAGCATTCTGTAATGGAAAAGGTCCTATTCCTAGAAGTAAAGTTTTAATTTTACTGGCTTCTTATTCCATTAAAATTGCTTGGCTCATCAACATTTCAAATATTTCACCCGGTTTCATTTTAATAATATTGCTATTTCCATTATCAATAAAATTTCAATTTATTGCTGTATTTCATGGATATTATTGCTAAAAATTGGTATCACCAATATTGTAGTTTTATCCAAGTAAATTACAATGTATGGTATTTTTCGATGTTAATAATATCGCAGTGATTTGCAATTTGAGAACTTGCAATAATCAAACCATAATGTTTCGTTATCATTTCTGTTTGGGATAAACAATATTATATCTAGCAGATCTTGTAATTTTAAATAAGTTCCGAACATTAAAAAAATTGATGATGTTTTGCTTATATCTATAAATAGCCAGTCCAATGACAATAAATCTTTCAATTGAAAGTTAAAAGTATAAAGAAAGCAGAGATCTGGTTTTGTTAGTATCTCGATATAATTTTTGACATTAGCAAGAACATGCCGCAAAATAGTGTCCCTTTGAGAAGTTTTCCTCTCATTTTTTGACTCAGCAGTGAAGGTCAGAAACAGGAAAACTCTGCATATTCTCACTTTTAAATGCGTTTTCTGAAGTGAAATTCATTCATTTAAACAAAAAACAATTTTATTTTATTTTTCCTCACTAGAAATTATCCGCAGAATCTGTACATCGAAACTTGTCAACAGAGGCATTTGTATACTGCCATATTCATTGTTTTTTTTCCGTTTCATCAATTTGTCGATAGGTTAATGATGTTGAAAAGGAGCAAGTCCTTAAAAGGAAGAATCAGGAAAGAGCTGCTACAGTCCCTAAAGAAAAATGTAAGAAAAAGAGGTTGTGGGTCACAGCTCATGAATGATGGATTATGGATTGTTCAAAAGATGATCAGTTTTTTCCAGGCGTGACTCATCCAAATATGACTGTTATCTTCTTGGGGTAACTTCATTCCAAATTTTAGTTCTTTGTTCAACTCTCTTCATGCATCAACACTCCCCCCCCCCTCCATTTTCTTCGATCATGACGTAACTAATGGTTTTATTCATTTTGTTTCCTTAATAATTTCCCAGCCATCAGTTTTTCAAGGAAAGAGGAGACTTTAGCCAACATTTTGCCGTTGAGTATTTTAACCGATAGCAGTATTTGAAAGAAAGTATTGATTATTTTCCGTATACATAATAATCATTTTTATTTTATTAATAATGAAAGAACACATCCTAGCAATTTCAAAATGAATGGCCTGATAAGCGTCCTTCGATTCATGCATGTTTAGAATATCACAATGAATATTGATCAATTTAATCGTTTTTCCAGCCTCTATACCCATGTTCTCTGCTATTATTATATTGCTTATTTTGGGTAGGAGTGTGTTCATACAATAACTTACTGGGTGTTTTGTAAACCAGTCAGAAATTCAAAGAGAAAAAATTGTTTTCCATTAGATGTGCCAAGTTTTTAGCGTGGAGCCAACGGCCAGCCATTGCTCCAGTGAAGTATGATGGAAGGTAGCAGTATCATATCGACGATGAAACTGAAGAAATGTGTAGCTCGGTTGCAGTGTTTCAAAAGCTCAGCTCCTATTTTATTTTCTAAAAAGAGTCAACATCATGGCTTGAAATTTTCACAGAGTATTCTTCCTATAAAGAAGAAAAATCACCAAAATTCTCAACCAATTCCTTTAGTAGTTTCTGATGAAAAAATATTGTATGACAAGAAGTCTGCAACACTGCAAACTAAGATAGGTACCTATTTCTTCAGTTTCACTATCGATATGCTTTTTCTTCAAACTTTGTGTATGAATTTAAAATAGAATGGTGTAGGTAAAATGGAATAGCTTGTTACCCCGAAGTGAATTCTCATAAGTATTTAATCTGTACCCTGTCTACTGGGTCATTGCCAGGACTCCTTTTAAAAATTATCTGTACTTAAATAAAGTCTAGAATTCATATCAGATACCTTTCACTGTCTTATTCAAAATATTCAGGGTTGCTCTCTCTTCAATAGTTACCATCCAATTACTTTTTAATAATCATTTTCTTCTTGTATTAGGGTTACTTTTCTCAAAGGTCATTCATTTTTACCAAATTTTCTGGAGGGAGTCTCCTCTAATCTTCCATTCCTTTTATTGTAAATCTTCCCTAAGAAAAGAAAGAAAATGTGTTTAAAAATCATCTAACTAATGTAAAAAAATGCTAATATTCCAGCATTTTTAAGTTTTTTTTTTGCATTGTGCATTGCAGAAAACATCGCGAATACTCACCCTCATGAGCAATAATTAATCTTCGAATCTCTTTCTAAAATTTTTTGTTGCATTCCTCCATTTCTTTTAAAATCATCCTTTCGTATAGCTGAATTGTTATTTCATCCTTAAATAGCACTATTGCTCTATTTGCCTTGTGCCTTTATTAGGATACTCGTGGAATGTAATTGATTTCAACATATTTATTTTGTTATCAATAATTCTCAATATTAATTTAATTTGATCGATTACTAAAGTGAAACCTTTTTCAAAGTGTGGAAAGAACTACATAATATCTTTTCAATGGTACTTACACATCATAGTTGTCAATCTGTGACATCTGTAAGAATATTGTTTTCTAATTTTAGAAAGACCTTTCCAGTGTAGGTGTGGTACATACATTGAATAAACAATGGGTGCTCAAGTTCTCTAAGAGATTATTTGTGAAGTTTTGATGCGCACACTGTAAGTCTAATTTTAAGGGATTTCATTAACCTAATGGATAGTCTGATGTTCATTATTTGTCATTTTTGCAAATCTTTTTGCGAAATGTTGTTTGTTTTAGACCCAAGGGCCAAACTCATCAGTCCTTCTGTTGCATCTGTCCCCCCTTGTTTTTCAAGGTGACTTTCTCTCTTTGCTTCCCCTTTCATTGAAATGTTTGAAATTTACTCAGTTTAAGGAGATCCTATGACATTCTTGTGTACATCAAAATTGGATAGCTATGAAGTTGGACAGAGTATGTGTTATTTGACAGGATTTTGTTGTATGTTTGTCCTAAATCCAAGGCAAAGGACATCAATGTTACCAACATCTTGACAATATTTATGTAAAAATCATGAAACATTTACACCATGGTTGACAGAAGACAATTTATTGTACTCTAGAAAAACTTAGTCATAAATTTTTCTCATAGAATACATGCAATAGTGCCATCAGCCATGGTGTACGTCTTACATAATTTTGAACGTATATTTTTTATTTATTTGCTGTTGAGGTAGTTGATATCGCTGTTCACTTTATATGTGTGATTTACCTCAACAATTTTGATAGATATGCTCCAAGTGTCAGCCAACATTAGGTTAAAATTGCATTCATAGGTTTGTTTTTTCTTTGCTCCAAAGTTGAAAAAGACAGATGCCAACAGTTAAATGCCATTACGTTTTACTCCGATTTTTTTATTTGTGGATGATTCGAGTTATAACATCTGTTCTGACTTTCATTGATTCTTTAACTCAGACACTTCAAATGTGCTTACTACATTCAAAACTTTTGAGGAGTTTGTTTGAGGGAAGAACCTATAATTATACTTTTTAATTTATTCAGCCTTTTTTTTCTATGAATATATATGTAAATCTCCGTCTCAGCAGCAGTAGAAGAAAACATAACTCTGCTGAAAACATGGGCTGTCATTGGTCCCTTTATCAAGGATACAAACAACAAATTAAGCTCCAATTGAACAAGTTATGATGTGTAGAACTACTACTCGGAATTTATTTTCAAAATTATGAGGTGCTCAATGCAAAATTGAAAATTTTTAACTTTGATTGTTTGATTTGTAAATATTCATTGTAAGTATCATTTAGTCATTTTATAAAGTGGTCAATAAAAGCTTTCGTATTTTTTAAAATATAGTTCTTTTTATTTTTCTCTCTTAAATGATGTGATTGAAACAATTAAAACTCTATTTTTGAAAAAATCAAATAAAATCCTAAGAATCAGGAAATTTCAAGCAATCCAGAAACGTCAAGAACTTTTTACCCTTGTTTTGATGTTTTTATTAATCCAGTTTCAGAGGATTTTTGCATGAACCACTCTCTCTTTGGTTTAACTTTTTATTTTACAGTAAGTTTTAATCATCAATCAACCAAACCGGAATCTAGAATTTGAAATAATTTTCATTTCTTGGAGACTGATGGAGCCTCGCAGAAGTCTTCATGCAGGTCAAGACACAATATTTGCGTTAACTTCTCTCTCTAGAAACTGCATGGACATCTTTTTTACCTACTCCTTTTGAAACACTGTTAGTCTATCAGTAGCTCTTTGCCTAGCCTGAGGTGTATGCAAGACCTAGAAAAAGAGGAAAATACAAAGAAATGCTCTTCATCAAAATTTAAGGAATTAAAATACATTTTCTTTTCATTCTCCTCAATCAAATATGTGATTGGCGTTTCAAGAATCTACTTTATTTTGAGGTCCAACAGTTCGGTCGGAGTAAAGTAAAAATGCAACACAAATGCCAAAAATTCAGTGACCTAAGCTCACTCAACTAGATAAGTGGATCTGTAATGTGGCCAGTTATTACCGTGACAATAATTTCCAAGTACCAAACATGGACCACTAACTAGAACTAGATTAAGCTGATTGTCAGCATGTCCAATTTTCATTCCTGCAATTTCAAAAGGAATAACTACAAATCTTCCCACAGCGAAATTCTTTTTTTCCTTTCTGTTGAAAATTTGCTGAAAGTAACTGAGTTGCATCATATTCGGTGGAGATCTAATCATACTCCATGATACAAAATCATGAGAGTAATGCGGAACACACAGCGCCTGAGGTGTGATGGCGAGAAGTGCCTCAGGGAATTGGACCCCGAGGCGGTCATGGGGCATAGCCCCTTAGTGCACTTAAACATCGCGTTAAATTAAACTAAGTTTTCTTTTAGTGAAGTGATAATTGTATGGCCGAACTTGCCTCAATTTTGGGGGATGTTCAGAATAATTTAACATTTTTCAAGTGTGGGGCTGCTCCTGAAGTGCGTAACCTTCGAAACGGAGGGATGGCTGAGAAGTGCGTTACGTCATTTGGACCGTGTTAAGTAGAAATGAACCATTCCCTTTCAACTATTGCCAATTGGGCAATGTTTTACATGCAAGCGGTTGTATGGATTTTTGGGAAAATTTCAGTGAATCTTCTCCATAATACGAAGCAAATTCCTTAACATTTTCCAAGGAATCCGCACAAACGTGCTCTTGTAAAAAATTAAATCGCCCGGTAAATTTGGTAATAGGTGATGTGGCTTGATTCCTTTCTGCGGTTCATTTAGTTTTCAGAAAAGTGCTATGAGGGAGGGGGGGGAGGCGTAATATCCGAACTTTAGCGTTACGTATTTTTAAATAGATTTTTAAGAGTGGCCCCTTACTAAAATTTTCAATTACAATGATCATGTAGCTTAATCGCTGAAAAAGACATTTTTAGTGAAGATTTTGAAATACCTGTCATGACAGACGGGCGTCACGAGGGAGTGCCGTCAAATTAAAAATGGCGCTTAAAATTTAAATGACCGCGCTTCAAGAGGATTGTGTTTCTCACCGTTGCTCAGCAATCATCTCCGGAGCTAAGTTTGGTGACCAACGAATCTTGCAGGTTTATTTACGTCACTGTTCGCTGACAACATTTTATTCCTTTTGTGCCATTGTCAATCTTGTAATTCGCGATCGAATTCATCGCATTAGTTTCTAATCTTCTTGTGACGAAGTAATACCTATTTTACAGGATGTAATTACCATGAAACTTGTCTCTACCGCTCATGTTAGTTTTCGTGACGAACGCGAGTGCAATGTCAAGCTTTGCTGAGTGCTGTTTCTCCCCCTCGTAAAGTGAAAACAACTCGGAACCATTGGCGTTTCGCGATAAGATAAGTAAGTTGAGTCGTATGTATTGCTCGTTAATTTCATAATTGAAATATTTTACTCTTTCCTTTTCTTTCTTATCGCTTAAATATTCACTTTCCTCAGCATTGGTTCTTGCTTCTATCAATGAGTATAGAACTACTGCTGTATGGAGCCCAGTGTTCCAATATGCTCTCTAAGACACCTACATCCAACTTCTTTACCACCTCCTTCGAGCCTCCTCACCTGATACCGATTGCAATTTGTCAGAAATGCTCTTTTTTCGTTTTTAAGTCGATTTAAGATGGCCAAATTACCCGTAGCTGGAAAGTCTCATACTTAGCCATTTCTGAATGTACGAACTCTGTATTCGGGAGGTTACATCAACTACTGTAGTTAATTTCCTCTCTTGCATGCTCATGCTACCTCATGAATATTCTTCTTTGTTCATCCTGTAAGTTTTCACCCGCATACCTGATAATTTCCTTTATCGATCGCTGTTGTTGTCTGTGTTACATTTCATCAGGCAGTCAAAGTTCTATTGCATTATTGGAACAGGACTCGCGGCACTAAGTCGCTACGCAGGTACATGTACATCTGTTTTTAGCAAGAATGATTATACATAATCATGCTCTTAATTACCTCCTCCTCTGAGGTGTTTCCTTTTTGGGAAAAAATTTTTTTTTCATATTTTGGTTCCATGTTTCTTTTCTATTTCATTCTCCGAAATTTATAAATTAACCTGTAATCCTCATGCACAGGCAACAGTAAATTTTCTCCTGTTTTCTGGATTTAAACCATGTTGCCCTTACAGAGCTTGATACACCATATTTACGTTTGGACCATCACTACCTAGGAGGGCAGTATAGTATTCTAGATAGATCAGGACCTTTGGAAAAGTTTATCTTGTTGTTTACATTTCTTATCATCTCTCGGGAAGTTGTGTTCAAGAATATTTTGCCACTCGTTTTCATATATGCTTTGCATTTGTGTACCTTTTTCTCACTCTCATCCTCACTTTCAGAGATTAGCTAAGCCCAGTTCTTACGGTTTAGTTTTCAATCAAACTCTTCCCTGGACTTCATTGAATGGAAATTTTTACCTATTTTAAGTATGTAAAAATTTTCATCCAATGAAGTTGGAAGAAAAGCTGAATGAACTGTTGAACTGGGTGTATTTGGCTCAACTCAGATATTCATCAATTTCTTTTGTGCTTATCTCCTTTTGGTTTCTCATTAGAACTGATTTTTTTAAAATTCCCATCATCAAAATGTACTATCAATATTCATCTTGAATCCTTTGTAAACAAACCATAGATATTAAGTAGATGAATGCAAACTATTGAACCTGTCGCACTGATAGGATAAAAGGTAAAGTTGGGTGTAGGAAGATTTTATACTCTAGTCTTCAAATGGTACCAATTTTTCATAACTTCTTTTACCCCCTGCTTTTTTTCCAGATCAGCAATGACTTTTACAAACAATTAGTACATTTCTCCTTCTCTTACGAGCTAACAGGAAGTTTTGCAACCCCAGCATTTCTTAAGAAAGTACCTGTAAAAGAAGCTTATTGGTTTTTTAATACCTTTCTACAAAATTGCTTCAATGTGCAGAGGAAATTCCTGAAAATAACTAAATAAATCCTATAAAACTGAGCCCGTTTTGCTCGTGGAAAATTACTCGCTTTCAAAAATTTTGAATGTTAATTTGTATGTAAGTGCATCTGCAAGCTGCTTTGGAGCAAAGACAGGCTGGGACCGGAAAATTAATCAGGAATTCGGGCCCATTTTTTTTTTTTTTTTTTTTTTTTTTGACTAACCAGTCCAAAATCATTCCATACATTGACCAATGGTTTTCCATCTACTCCTGCTTTGGAGCAAAATTGCGTAGAAAAATTTCTTAAATTCAAGAGGTACTTCATGTTAGTCAGCCGCAAACCAGAGTAAAATAAGAGGTTCAATTTTTTGAATCCTATTGCTGTTCGATTTTAACAAATCTATCCTCCGTTGATTTTATTTTTTTGATTGTGTTAATTTGTTTTTTGGAGACTGCTCCGCCAGCAGGGATGGAAGATGGACACATTTGTCGCGTGTGCCGTTGTGAGGGAGCAGCTGACAGACCATTATTCCATCCATGTATCTGCACAGGAAGTATCAAGTGGATCCATCAAGAATGTCTTCTACAATGGATGCGCTACTCTCGCAAGGAATATTGCGAGCTTTGTGGCTACAGGTGAGCAACACAAATGTATTATTTTCAGGATCTTGCACATAAGCCAGCAGACAAAGAGTTGCAGTAATTTTTCTTTTTGGTTAAGGGATTTTAGATGGTCTGTTGATACCTAAATGGTGAGAATTTGCGTTTTGGAATCGAGAAGTACAGCAGTGAAACAATGGATTTGTTCCCGGGAGTAGCTCCCAATATTTGATTAGATTCAAACAGAAGAATAGAAAAAAAAGAGTGAGTTCGTGTGTTAGAATGTTAAAATACAATCAAGTGATTAATGTTTAATGGGTACTTCATCAGCTAAGAAACATTACATGAGCTAAAGACCTTCAAAAAAGTCAATCCAGAGGTGGAGAACACCAAACAACAGCCAATCAATGGGTCAGTTTCGTTGGTCACATAATCGTTTTTTGATGCTTGATCCTTGTAGATTATTTAAAAATAATAAGCTGTGTCCAAACAGCAACTTTTTACATTTAATATTAACAGAGCTATTGCCCTTTGAAAAGTCGGGGTTTTTGATGTCATCCACTGTGGTAGTGACACCCGTGGTTTCTTCCACCTTGCTTTCATCAGCAGTGACGCACTGGTTATTCAACTTTAAACTTGGATGAAAGCAAGGTGGAAGAAACCAAGGGTGTCACTACCGCGGTGGATGACTACAAAACCTGACTTTTCAGAGGGCAATACCTTGGTTAATATTGAACTTAGAAAAAGTTGTGGTTTGGGAGGATCTTATTATTTTTAGCTAATCTACAAGAATCAAGCATCAAAACAAGATTCTGAGACCAGCGCAACTGACCCATTTTTTCTCCTGTGCTTCATATCCTTAGTTATATTTTTATCTATACTCTCTAGTTCTGAGGCTTTGTTTTTAATTAATTAAATACCTGATCTTATTTGATTCAGATTTTCTTTCACTCCAATATACTCGCCGGATATGCCTCGGCGTCTACCAATTAAAGATGTGATCGGCGGTCTCCTAGGAAGTGTTGTCACAGCTGTTAAATACTGGTTTCATTACACAATTGTTGCCCTAGCATGGCTTGGTGTTGTGCCTCTTACAGCATGCCGAATCTATCGATCCCTCTTCACTGGCTCCGTCGATTCGGTAAGCTCTGCCGTTACCGTTGTACTTAGGTTACCTTCATCTCTCTACTCCATTTACATACAGTGGTGTCTAACAGTATTCTGATTGTATTAAAAGTCAAAAGTTGTATACGCATAGTTTTAAGGGAGTGCTGTTTTGCGAAATAAAAAAATGAAAGGTGAAGCACTTCTGTCACTATCTGCACTGGCGATTAGAATTCATTCTGTGCTTTTTTCTGGTTTATCCTTCCTCATTAAACAGCACTTTTATAAATGTGTCAGTGTAGGTTCCAACTCCGTATCTGCAGTCTTTCAAAATATGCTTACAAAGCCATTAGTGCAGGTTTAAAAGGACTAAAGGATCAAAATAGATGAAGAGTTTACTCTGCCTCACACACTCTGCTTGAATGTTGGTACCATAACATGCCCATATCTCATCTCCGTGGGGAGTCAACGATGCTTCATTCACGCAATTTGAGGGACATAGTTTATTCACTCATCAAAGCCTGCTATTCTTTTTTTTAATAGACATGAGTGCTTGGACCTCATAGGAAAAATAAAACTTTGTTTACTGTTTATTTAATTTTTATGATATATGACAACAAGACCCACAGAATTTGGACGTTTCTAATATTGGTATTAGAATTTAACAAAAAACTACTCTTTTGTGGCACAGTCATTGAATGGCTCCTTTTAGGCGTTATGCATTGTGGTTGTCTCCTCTCTGATAAGGTATGAGAGGCTCACAAATAGCCAAGTCACAATATTTTGCAAGATTAGTTTTCAAGCAAGTCCTAAAACTTTTTCTTCTGTTTTACGGAAGTATCCATCTTAGGGGTTCCGAAACTTCGATGACTCTTCAATGACATTCTTTTTTTTTAGGTTCTCATGCTGCCACTGGATGTTCTGTCTATTGATAATATCCCGGCCGATATTTTCCATGGTTGCTTTGTTGTTACTTGTACATTACTGGCTTTCCTTGGACTCATTTATCTGAGGGAGCAAATACTTCATGGTGGAGGCCCTGACTGGTTAGAGCAGGATGAACCCAATCAACAGCAAGATGCCAGAGTTGTCCAGCTGAGGAGAGATGAAGGACAACCAGCAGCTCCAGAGAACAACAATGTTCAAGATGCCGTTCAAAACCAAAATGAGGCAAGTTGAATTGATCTGATAAAATGTTAAACTTCATTTGAATATGTTGTTTCGAACAATGCCTGATTTGAGTATTGTCAAGATTGGTTTCATCACGGAAAAGTGAATTTTTGACTTATAATTTGTATGTCTCTTATAACGTTCCTATTGGCACATTTTGATTTTTCTATCAAATTACATATCCTATGTATGTGTCAAAATGAAAAAATCTAAAACAGATTTCGCACAGAATATTAAGAAATTTGGCGCCTGCTGAATTTTGAGATTTTTTATGTAATGCTCCTCATGATCTTGAGTAAAATAAGCTTTTAAAATCAAACTTGCCACATGCTAATTTCGAGAAAATTGAGTGTACAAAGTGCATATTTTGGCACTTGTCCACGTATAATCCAGTGCAAAAATGTAGGTCTCCGAGGAGGGAGTTCTTCTCTCCTTGTCTTATGCCAGCTGGGGAGATAAGACGGCGCGTCAACTCAGTTCAGAGCAAAAGGCTCTTTATTGTTGACCCAGTGACACTACCACTTCTCCTTACGATAACATGTGTTAAACAGCCAAACAAAGCACTTTTCAAACCTGATTTCCTTGAATTTGGCAAGTAGAACGTTTGATCAATGAAAGCTCATATTACTCAGGAAATAGTAAGGAACATTATAAAGTACAAATTCTCCAATTTGAAAAATTTTTCACAGTAGTATTTTTGCCAGCTTTATCATGGCAATGAGGAAAGGTACTGGTGAATTTTTAAAAACTTGTAGCATTTGAAGTTCCCCGTGCAGTGGCGTGACGTGCCTTGCGATGTATCGATTGATCTGCCATTTAGACCTATGGCAAAGGATCAATTAACAGGGTGTTCGCAACGAACATTTCAATAATTGATTCTTCACCATAGTTTCAAATGAGGAAATATCGATAATCGACCATTCACGCCTCGCCACTGGCCCCATGGCATAATTGTTACTTTTTCCTTTATCTTTCTTCTCATCTTTTAACATCAGGCTGTTGCTGAACCTGAGAATGCCGTTGAAGGAATTGCTGGTGTGGGTGGAGGTGCTGTCGCTAACGACGAAGCTAACTTCAATCCAATAGAATGGGATCGAGCTGGTGAAGAAATCACATGGGAAAGACTTTTGGGTCTAGATGGATCTTTGGTAAGCACCTTGAATTCCAAAAGAAAGGTAGCCAGATAATCATTATTTTTTCAAATTTTTGCTCTGTATGTTTCTGAACTAACATGATAGAAGAGATATACATGATACAGAGGTATATCGGTCACAGGAACCTTGAGCAAGGTCAACGGTAAAATTCTCAAGGCAAAGGTCGAAGAGGTTTGGAGCAGCCAGGAAGCCAAAGAACAGGCTGGTTTTAGAGCCGGTAGGTCTACCGTCGACCATTTGTTCACCATTACCCAGGTCATCGAGAAGAAAAGGGCGGTCAGCCAGGAGCAGCACTTGGTGTTTGTGGATCTTCAGAAAGCTTAGGGGTTTTAGCAAAGGACTTGTGGGGGCAATTAAATAATTTTATAATGGGACGATAGTAAGAGTTAAATCTCGTGGAGAGTTGTTCGGAGGTTTCTTCGTCACAAATGGGCTAAACCCATGGATATCGGAATATCAGGCACTTTATTTATTAAGATACGGGGGATTAATCGATTCTAAAATTGCAGTTTAGCGTTATATCTCTTTAACTATTAATAATTATGAAAGTTTGAGCTTTTTCGACTAACCACAAAGATATTGGTGTTTTATATTTTATTTTTGGTGTTTGGAGAGGACTAATCGGAACTTCCTTTAGTGTAGTAGTTTGGGCTGTTGTTTGTCATCAACACTATTTAAGGTATACCTAGAGAACGTGTTGAAGGAATGGAAAAATAAGGTTGCGGGGATGGGCGTTCCACTCCTTGATGGGCAGACCCTATATACTCTATGCTTTGCCGATGACCAGATTGTAATAGCTAAAGATGAGGAAGATGCAGATTACATGGTGCGGAAGTTGGTTGAAGAATATCGGAAATGGGGCATGGATGTTAGTGTGTCCAAGACAGAGAAGCTGGTCGTGGGAGCAGCGCATCAACGGCAAAGCATAGAGCTTGAGATCGAAGTGTGTGATGAGTATAAGTATCTCAGTGTCTGGCTAGATCAGGATGGAAGGATGGATAGGGCAATTAAGGATAGGATCATCCAGGGCAGGAGAGCCATTGCGATGCTGAACGGGGTGCTCTGGGGTCAGAGCATTTCAAAGACAAACAAGCACCGGATGTATGACGCCATCGTTAAAAGTATCGTGTTCTATGGTAGTGAAGTGTGGCCTTTGACGAAAAGAACGCAAGAAATGTTGAGGGCAACTGAAATGGATTTATTGCGGCGATCTGCAGGCATTTCGAGACGGGACCGTGTCCGTAATGAGAGAATTCGCCAGGTGATGAAGGTTGAAAAAGATATTGAGCACAACATCATGTCCAGGCAGTTATGCTGGTATGGAAATGTGCAATTAATGTCGGAGGAGACGTTGCCCAAACAAGTCTTGGATTGGGTACCACCTGGGAAGAGGCGACGGGGACGTCCTGTAAAGGGTTGGCGGCAGGGCCTCGACGAAGAGATGTTGCAGTGTCAGTTGCCCGATAACCTCTGGGAAGACAGGCATATGTGGCGTTTGGGTGTTGCAGAACGCCAGAGTGCGTTGTAGAGCGACTTTATGTATATATACATGAAAGAATTTTTAGTAATGCTCAGGCGTCAGTTGCAATTGTCATTTATTCCTTAACCCAGCACATGCAAAAAAAATAACCTTGAAAACTGTTATATGAGTCAAAGTCTTTCAACAAATTTTATTTCTAAGATGTATGTTTAAAAATTTAAGTAATCCTTCATTGAACATTTTTTTTGTTTTGTTTTGCGAATTTTTAAGGTGTATCTAATATCTACTCTTTTGGAAAAGATCATCATTTTGTCCTGTAGTCATTACAGTTATGTGGCTCCAAATTGTATCCATGGTTCAAGTTACATTTCCTTCAACGGAAGGAAAACATATTTCCTTTTTTTCCTTCATGGTGTAAAACATACAGCAAGTTATGGATCCTATAATAAATACTGTTAATTTTTTTTTCAACAGGTGTTCCTGGAGCATGTGTTTTGGGTTGTTTCATTAAACACCTTGTTCATTTTAGTCTTCGCATTTTGTCCCTACCACATGGGTCATTTTGCTGTCGTAGGCTTAGGATTACGAGAACATGTAACGGCTTCTCACTTTGAAGGTAACTTTTTTCAATTCTGTATGTTTTTTAGAGTGAAATACATTGGCTAGTCTACTGAGTTGCGGAAGAATGAAATGGATGAATGATAAATTCTTTCAGAAGTCTTATTTCAAAGTGCAAAAAACAGAAGACTGTAGTAAAAAATTAAATTCTACTCAAATTTTCAAGAACCAATTATTTTGTTTCCCTAAAATTTAGTTTAATTGAAATTGTGGACTGAGCCAGTAATGAAGATCAAAACTCGTGGTTGTCCATGAGGAAGGACACCGCTAAGGGCAAACTTCTCAGTCGAGTAGTCATGTAGGGTGGAAAAACCAGTCTTTAAAAAAAAGTAAAAAAGTCCTAAAATGGCTCTCTTGCACCTTCTGGAGAATTAAGATTCCAGTGTTTTTTCTCACCAAAAATTTTACAAAAAACATGATGGTACCACTTGGTTTTTCCGAAACTAACTCCTATGCCCAAGAATAGGTCTTGAAGTTGAGACTATAATGAAAAAATGTCTTATATTATAGTGAGAGTCTGCCTACAGTTCTATAAGGAATATCCAACATTCCTGACCCTAAACTGCCAAAGTAACTTGAGAAAATAAAAGCCTGTTCATTAACTTGAAACTGAACACAAAGGCAAAGTATTTCCACAGTCAAGCCATTCATTAATGTGATTTAAAATGAGCAAAAAAATAAAAATTACTTTTTAAATTGTAATATTTTGCAAATTAGCACCAGTTCAAGAGTTACCGAAAATATTTCCCGATATAGACGTCACGGAAAAATTTGCCTATTGTTTTAGAGGGTGGAAATAAGTTGACAAAGTTTTTGAAGTGCGCTAAGTAATCCTCTCCATACTTTTCCTTGTACATTTTGTAATTTCTGCTTACAGAAAGACTGTTGTCTGTGAGTTATGGTAAAAATGATACTAATAAATTGCCAGGATTTATTTCCGTGTTTAAATTCAACCCTGAGACACTAGGAAAATTTATCTAGGAAATTTAAAGCGCAATACTTTCCTCTTTTCGCTTCCTTTCTTTTTCTTTCGTTTTACATAAGTGGCAACTTGTATAATGAATCTTACCATAAAATCTTTTTTGCAGGTTTAGTGACAACCCTATGTGGATATTGTGTCATCGGATTGTGCCTTGTAATTTTACGCACTTTAGCTGCAATCTTCAAATTCACTCGTTCCAAGAAGGTTTTGGGCATGTGCTATGTTGTTGTCAAAGTGAGTATTGCCTCATGATTGGCCTTCTATAGTTTTTTTCCTTTTTTCTTTGCCTCACTTCTTCCTGCTCTTTCATGATAGGAGGAATTGCAATCGAAAAAACTGGTGTGAAAAGTTCTTGATGGCTTTTTTTGTATCTTAGAATCGAACTTGTTACGTATCATTATTTAATTGTTATTTCCTCCGTAGCAATTTGCTATCTAAAATTTTCTTGGGGGTTCAGTTTCAACTAATGCTAAAAAAATTGAACTCTTCCCGAAAAACAATAGTGCTACTAGACATAATAGCAGTGGTCTACCAGGTAGAATAATTTTACTTGTGGTAAGATAATCTTCAAGGGTATCTGAGAAGACTGGAAAAAAAAAATTATGGCTTCTGAGCATTTCTGTAGTTTTATCAATCACTTGAAACGCAGAAGGGTCACTTCTTGTCAAATTGTTTGGAAAAAAAAACTAGAAAAATTTGATTGACAGCCTTGATTTTTTTTTTTTTTTTTAAATTTGATTTTTTGTTCACCTATCTGATTGAAGCCAAAAAAGTAGTATGAGTAATGTCACATTTTTAGATTAATTAGTGCATCGGGTGAAAACGGACAAAAATTTCAAAAAGTTTGTTTCATGAATCTCTGAGACAAGGGAATTGAAATTTTGTGGTTGCTAGTTTTCAAGTGATATGCACACATGAAACACACACTTTTCTTGTACTTAAGCAATGATCTGAATCTGATGTGTGGTGTCTCTTTTGGATCAGTTGGCATAGAATGACCTAACTTCTTGTAAAAACACCTTACTACAACTGTCATTCGGATTCATTGTGCTAAACAGAAAGTCTAATCAGTATTGCTTATTTTTCAGGTTTCTTTACTCTCTGTAGTAGAAGTAGGTGTTTTACCACTAGTTTGTGGATGGTGGCTAGATATTTGTTCACTGGCTATGTTTGATGCCACTCTCCGGGACCGTGAAACAAGCTTTAGAGCAGCACCAGGAACATCCATGTTTATTCATTGGTTCATTGGCATGGTTTATGTTTACTATTTTGCAACGTTTGTTCTTCTACTTAGAGAAGTGCTTCGCCCCGGTGTGCTATGGTTCTTAAGAAATCTAAATGACCCAGATTTTAGCCCAATCCAGGTACTTATTCTTATCTTGGTCTTTCCTGTTACTGACTTGAACTGTTCCAAAACTCCTCAGGAGGATGGTACGGAGCTGAAACTACCAGATCACGTATCCTGTAGGGCTGTTCTATCGGTTGTCGGTAAGCTACCGAAACCGTTCCGTTAAGAAAAAGTTACGACAAGAGTGCTCTTGCCGATAGCGATCAGAGTTTTCGGAGTTGACGAAAATAAGCTGTTGCCATTTGTACATCTATTTCACGCGCCCGCGCCAGGCAATCTGATAAACCGACGCATGGGGCAACAATGAATTGAGTGCAAGCTCTCAAAAATCCAATAAGGCCGGCTGTTGTCGATATCATCGCCACTGTTGGTACTGCCGCCAGTTTCAATAAGAGACGAAATTGATAGTGTTCCGGCAAGAATTTGTTGGAACACCCCTAGTATCCCGTTTGTGGTGTTTAAAAATCTCTGCTCAAATTTTATTTATTTGAAGGTAAACAAATCAATGTCATTCCTTGAAATTTTCACAGAGTTTTTTTTGCACAGAGAAGTAAGACACTATTGTTCGTGTAAATTAGAGAGTCGGTTAAGACGAATGGCCTCGTAGGTTGAATTTTTTTTCATTCCCTACACAACTCGACTTATCGAGTTTTTACTGTACTTGATTTAATGATGATTTTGCCCACCAATGCCAGAAAAAACGCTACTTTTCTACTGGAAACTTGCGAAATGTTTCAGATGTTATCTAGAAACGAAGTTATCTTGCTTTGGAAAGAACTATTTCTACTTCATCGCAATATGTGCTACTTTCCACTCAATTTCATTGACATACATTAGGATTTTTTTTCCTATGAATAATATTTCACCAGCCACTTATTAAAAATCTATATAGTTATAGAACTGCATGTATTTTTTATTGTTTTTCTCCTTTTTTAGTAAGTTTTATTCATAATATTTTATTTCTTGCAGGAAATGATACACTTGCCAATTATCAAACACCTTCGTCGCCTTCTTGTGTCCGTGGTCATTTTTGGAACAGCCGTCTTGCTGATGTTGTATGTTCCTGTAAAAATAATTAAGTTTCTTCTGCCTGGATTTTTACCATACACCGTAACTCAACACTCAGAAGCGCAGGTAATTTTCAAGACACATAATTGCTTTCCATGTAGAGATAATGTTTAGTGTCCAAATTCCTAATGTTAAATATCTATAGTGAAGGCGTAGGGCACTGATTTTGATCTTAAAAATACTGATTCGATTTTAATCCTAATACTTTCTTTCTCTAGGCTAAGTAGTTGAGTCAGATATAAAGTTAGTCTTCATATTTTTGTCCTGCTGAAGTGATGTAAAGTCAAGAGGAATTCCTATGCATCCTTTCCATGCTTCATCAAAAGAGTTTATAGCTGAAGGAGAGAAATACTGTATGCATCCATGTATTGCACTCCTCCGTGGAATGTGTCCCTTCTATTTTTTTGAGTGAAAATAAAGGAAAAGTACTTTTTTTGGAGATACTTCCAAGATTTTTAAGTATGGCGTAATAAAGGGCATCCTACCCTTTGCCTATAATTCTTGATTCAAAGAGGGACTTGATAGTGGATGAGAATCACCGAAAGAAAATATTTATATTTGAAGAAACCGCTACATACTACGCTACAATCCATCAAGTGTAGAATTTAAACAAGTGGGAAGGAGTGGAGGAATCTTTTTTGGTCAGCTCTGCCGTGCTAAGGGAAAACGCCGTTTGAACCTTCAGGCGTAGCAAAATTTCTTTTGGTAAACCACAAATTTTTGAGAAAATTTGTAAATGTTTTTCTTCCAATTTTTCAAAGAATTTTGTTCTAGATTTGATGTGAATAGTCTGAAATTTTCAGGGATAAACATTCATAACTTGCTTCAAAAAGAAACATTTTTAAGAGGAAATTTGGCAACTCCCAAATGTACATACGGCGTTTTTCCTTAGCACGGCAGAGCTGCAGAGTAGCGCCATACGCTACGTACCTTTGCTCATGTGCTCTGCAGTCAGCGGCTTGCCTTGTTACTCACGTCTAGAAAGAATAGACCAGAACTTTTTTGTAGAGATTATCTGGGGGCAACGACCATGTATTCTACATACGTCTCCCCATCTTTGAACAGAGTATCCAACCAAAAGATGTTTTATACGATTACCAACATGGGTAAAAACGGTATGTGATGACAGATCTACAAAATTGGTCCTAGAAAATGATGTGCTATCAAAATCAGTGTTTGGAAGCTTACATTTATTCTAAGCATAAAAAGTTTTCCTGAGATCGGAAAGAACTATTTTCTCTTTACAACAGAATATCATTGACTTGATATTGTTTCATCGCATGGAACCCTGTCTCCTGATGGTACTTCATCTTTTTTGGTCCATAGCTGAAAAATCTCTAATGACTGGAAAAATCTTGATCATTTGTTTAACTCAATTACCTGTATGAATGTTTGGATCTCATCCTTTTGTTACGAGTGCCGGCTCAACTAGAAGGAGTTGTCCTTAATAGTTAATAACTTTCTGAATTTTTGGAAGGATAACTTAATGAAAGATTTTTCAATGTGATTTTAATATTGTATTAGTTTCAGGTGAATGAACTGTCTCTGGAATTCCTTTTGCTTCAAGTCATCATGCCTGCTCTCATGGAGCATTCTCACACCCGCACCTGGCTGAAATCAACAATCCGCATCTGGTGCCGTGCTGTAGCTTGGCTGTTAGACATCAAGTCTTTCCTTTTAGGCGATGAAGCGGAGCCTAGAGCTGGGTTGGAAGATCAAAATGAGGTAGCTTTGGCCGGTGATCTGGGCGCTCTCCACCATGCTATTTGGCAGCTCCATGGAATTCTCGGACTGGGAGCGCAGCCTTACAAGAGGCCAAAATTTTTTGCAGCCAGAATTGTTTGTTTACTGGTTCTTGTCGCCATAAGTTTTGTAGTGGCAGCAGTCTTAGTATTAACCATTCCTGTTTGGCTAGGTCGACAAGTTATGGGATTCTGGCCTGTTGGACCACCGGGTGATGCTGCAACCTCTCTGAATGTTCCAGTTCATGAACTGTATACAGCGGCTTGTGGAACGTACCTACTGTGGCTTATCGGCCGCTTTGTCAGCCTAGTTTGTAGTTGGCTTCCGCAAGGTCGTGCTGCCATTATGCAACGATTATGGAGTTGGTGCATAGTTGGTGCCAAATGTGCTGTGGCTTTCATGATTCTCATTGGTGTTATACCTCTACTGTTCGGTTTATTATTAGAATTGATCGTACTTGTTCCGTTGAGAGTGCCACTCAATCAAACTCCAATTCTGTGGGTCTGGCAAGATTGGGTTCTTGGTGTGCTTTACACCAAGATTGCATGTGCTATAACAATGATGGGACCAGATTGGGCGTTGCGGCGAGCTATCGAGCGCACATTCCGTGATGGCATCATGCGCATGAATTTAGGTCTTGTTCTCCGTGAACTAGCCGCACCTGTGATCGGCTGTTTGAGCCTAGCATTAGCTGTTCCATATGTTATTGCGCATAGTTTAGCACCATTAGTTGTTTCTAGTTTACATTTTAGAAATATCATAGTACGACGTATCTATCCTTTCCTTCTGATTGTTTCATTAATTTTTGGGTTAATTAATTTCCAAATCAGGCAATTTTCAAAGTTATATGAGCATATAAAAAATGACAAATACTTAGTTGGAAGGAGACTGGTCAACTATCACCATAAATCGTCTCTATCTGAATAGTTAGGAGGTCTCAACCCTAACCGATCTGCAAAAGTGCACAAGTTAACAGTATCCTTTACTTGTAGATAGCCTTTTTGTCTCTCTTAATTTGGTGTTTTCTTCTGGTATGAATTTTTGTTTCATTTTAAGTTCGGACCCTTTTATGTCATACTATTTACATAAACGAAAAATTTTCATCATTGCCTGTGTACCACTTTTTGCAGAGTTTTTTTGCCTGAACTTGTAGCGTTCTTTTTTATTCTGAATACATACTAAGGTTCTCAGTTAGGTAACAGGGGAAAAAGTTAATTAGTTTTTGAGTCAGGAATGTTAACTTCGTACTTGTAATACCCAGAATTTTTCAAATTCACTCATAAAATTTAGAGGATGCCTTATTTTAATTGATATAAACATATAATTAAATATTTCTTACTGGAAATTAAGAACTTACAGTGACACAAAATGTGCTCAACATCCGTTATTTTGTTGACAAATGTCCATGATGAAACTGCTCTGAGGTGGGAAAGAAAACAAGGAAAAAGATACACCATTCATTAAATATACCCATTGTAAAAAAAGCCAGGTATTACTTCAAGTATGATGGAATATTACTAGTTCACATCCTTGAAAGTTACGTTTCTTTTTCTCCTTAAAAGTATCTTCTTTGTCACTTTGAATCTTACAATTTTTATGAAATCAATCCGAAATTGAATGAAGGTATTTTTAAATTTGATATTGCTTTTGATGCCACTATCAACCTTTTTCTCCAACTAACAACACCCCCCCCCCTCTCCCTTGGTCCTTTGCCTCTGATAATATACAAAATATTTTAAACCTAGAATTCCTTTTGAAGTAGCCATATTGACATTAATGATAAATATATGTATGAAAGTGCTTTACTTTGTAAAATGTCGCTTTATCTAAGGAAGTTTCTGTAAGGTCACTCCTGTAAAACCTATATTTAGTCCATCATGTGGAAAATTTTTCTTTTTTCGCATCCTTTGATACCTTCGCTCGCGAAATATTGAGTGAATAAAAATAAGTATAACATTGTAGTTAATGGCCCCTGATGAAAACTTGCTTTTTTGTTTACTTTTCTACTGCGAGGCCTCTCCTGATTTTAATGGAGATTGACAATTTATTCGAAAGTGAAATTGATTGCAGATTCCATGTTATTTTATATTATAATGTTGCTATGAAAGTTCAAAAGCATGCATCTCAATTGCAGTTTTTTCTTATATATTTATTTTTCCAGAGGAAAACAAAACAGTCTTACATTTTGTGGAAAAATTGCTTTAAGGGAAGAAAAGTAGAAGGAAGTTTTCAGAATTTAGGTGTTTTCAGTTTCCTTTCAAAAATCAAAATATGTCAGGGAAATCTATTACGTCACAAATCGAGATGCATATTTTTGAATTTCAACTGGTGTTTAAATTTGTTTCATTAAAATTCAATTTTTAAGGATGTTAATCAGTAGTTTATATTACAAATGAGTGTAAGAAAAGAAAACTGAGGTAAAAAAAAGGAAATATTTGTGAAGTTAGGAGGAAAATGAGAATGTAAAATTTGGTGAGTCTTTAAGGTGAATCTGTGTCGGATAATGTAATGAAATTTTTTCAGTTGGTTTTTGTGGGATGGAGGGGAATTCAAAGTTGATGAAGGAAGACTTCATGGTGCAAAGAGCATGATGCTGGAAATATTTTCATGCGCTATGCTTGTGTCTTCTTTTTCTACTAATAATCTCCAGCTCTGTCAGTTTTTACACTCAGGAATCATATCAGGAACTTTACCTTGTCCCCAGGTTAACTTGAGAGATATACTGCTCTGTGATTATTGAAATTTGAAATATAGTGCAGCTTTAAAGATGCATGCAATAGACCACCAGACAAGGTCTGACCTCGAAAGGAGATCATATGTCTCCTCTTCAAAATCTTGCATCTAGAACAATTCACACAACGGAAAGTTCAGTAATCAACTTCTGAACGAGATACTGAAAAGTATTTTCAATACAGACCCAACAGAAATTAGATTCTATGAATTGTTTTGATTGTTGATTTGTCTTTTGTATTTTTGCCATCAAACCAATGGTGTTTAATTTCCAATGGTGTTTAATTTTAAACACTTTTATCTTGTTTAGGAGTCCTAGATTTTCCGTTGTGTGATCCGTTTTCCTTGTGAAATTTTGAAAGGAAATCAATTTATACCTTGTCCAGAGGCTCATCGTGTTCTGCCCACTGACAGATGATTGTCTCGCTCTATTCAACAATGGTCTCTCCTAAACTTTGAAGAGGTCTGCTTTATGTACAATTGATCCCTTAAATAGCGTCTCAGGGGCGTAATTTTTGCTCTCAAGTTTTGTCGGTAATGCAATGTTTTTATAGTGATGCTACATCACAGTGAAAACTTAAGTCAGAGGCTATAAATAACTATTACCAAAATCAAAACCTTTGCAGCTGACTGTGCTCCCAAGTACAACTGTTTGAGCAAAGCTTTTTCATTTAGTGTTCCTGGGTTTTTTTTTTTGTATGAATAGACTTTAATTCTTTTTTAAAAAAGTTTATCACTAATGTAATTTTTTGTTGTTGTAATACCTCGATGTATTCATTTGCATCATGGCTCACTAAGTTATATCTGAAGATCAAGAATATCTCAATTGTGTTTAAAAAATTTGATTTAATTTTTCTTTTATTTTGGCTGTTTAGACTATGAAGATTTCAAGAGCAAACAGCGAAGTTAGGTCTTTGAATGCGATTAACTAAGATCTCTATGCTGAATCTTGGAAGGAAAGGCATTTGGTAATATGTGTTACATATCTTGATTTTATGGTGGCTAAAGATTCTCTTCATAAGAAGGTCATAGGAATTATACATCCAGCCTGTAATGAAAGCTCTCAAACCCTAAGGCGTACTACGTAAATTATACAGTTCCTTCAAATGCAACTCAAAACATTTGTAAGGTATTTAGAATAAAATCTGGAAACACTTAACCGGTGCATTCCTTAAGTATCCCTCCCCTCATGAATTGCAATCATGTAATAGCTATTCAACTATCCCTTAAAAAAAGAATAATTTTTTGTTTTTTTCTTTTGGAGTTGTTAATGACTTGAACAAATTAATTGTAAGTAATTATGGGAAACGCTTTGGCTATTTTCATATTTTTCGAATAATATAAGTTCCTGGAGGATCGTCTTTTTGGAGGCACAAACAGTTGTGAGAAAAAATTAGATGTCCATGAAAATTCTGTCCTGCTCTGCCGAGGAAGAACATGGTATGTAGGGGTGGAATAAGCATTTTCCGTTTGTCACTTTATCTATAATTTTCACTCAGCGTGTTTAAAGGAACAATATTCAAGTCATAATGATGACGAAAACTGAAAAAGAAATTTGTAAAACCGGCAGGAAGCATGAAACCGGTCTGTTAATTCTTTCAGTATAATGAAATGCAATTTTAATGAAATCCCTTACAAGTTGGCCATCTTTGTCCAGAATGATTTATAAGGACCTTCTTCTTCATGGTGTATGGAACAAAAAATGAATCAGGAAATTCTTGAAATCCATTGATCTTGAAAGAAGGTCTTTTCGAAAACTATTTACCTTGCCATTGGACCTCGCAGATTTTGTAACTGTTTGATTCTGGAGAATAGAGATATCAAAATGAGCATATGGTGAGAGTTGTTGTGAAGGACAGACAATATTGTTTTTATTAATATGAATAATGCGGTATAAATACAACAAGTTAAATGAAAATTTTATAATTTTAAACTATGGCAGCGCAGTAAGGTTTCTTCCAATGAGTCTCGGCTGGTGAATTTATCTCCCCCTCTCCCCCAAGCAGGCCTCATGGATGGAAAACAAAGCAATGCTCAATTCATTGTGCGTTGTCTCTTCCTTGGTCGTTACAAGTTTCAATTTATTCATGATTGAGGAAAACTGAAGATGGTCACAGCAGACTTATGTATAGTATTTATTTTTATTTTTTGTAAATATTTATTATTTATTTGATAAACTATCATGTATGAAATGTATCATGTTTTAAATAAAATGATGAAAATGTTACAAAATAAATGAAAAACGATTTCATTTTGGTAAATCTACTTAATAAAAAGAAACAGATCGACCACTGAAAAAAGAGATAAAGAAAAAAACCCTTGACTATTTTAGCACTTCATTCATACACTACTACCAGTTTAATTAACGAATTCTTAATAGTCAGGTATTTCAGTCAAATTTCAAGAATACAGATTTTACTGAACATGTTGAAAAGTCCGATGTCAAACTTAAAGTGAAACATCAGCATTAAGTAATGTTTGGAGGACCTTTTGGCAAAAAGGCAGAAATGCATTCGACATTGGTGAGATGTGCAGCTTTCAATGCGATTCTTAGTCTTATAAAAGCAATCACATTAACATAATACATGTCCTGTAGAATTTTCAAATTTTATGAAGTAATTTTCCTGACAATTTTTTACTTGGCAAAGTGAATTTTTATCAGAGTGAAAGCATGGGGAGGTTATTCAATCCTAACAAAACTAGAGAGACAAATTATGACATTTTTACGAATCGTCCTCCATCCTACATGAGTATCAGTAGGTAAATGTAAACGTAATGCTCTTTTAGGAATGCTAAAATAAGCATCAGTCAAATCAACCGTCAAAGTCAGGATTTATTTCATGCGAATGGCTAGCAGTTCTCCCACCATTCATTGACCTTCCTCTCCTAATTTTGATAAATGTTTTTTTTACTTGCCAAGAAAAAATCTTACTGAGAAAATTATTTTATCGTAAAGCACTCTGATATTAAAATTATGCCTGTACTAACTCATGCACTCTTCAGTTTTTTTTCCAAAGACAAGCATACCTACATTGAGGAAAACTTCGAACATTTTGACCTCTGCTTGTTTGTCCAATGTATTTTTTTGTGAAATTTTGATGAGAGAATTATTTTATCACAGTTTAGTTTCTTACCCTTCTTTGTAATTCATTCAACGGTTCATTTTTTTTTATCTAATAAGTGTGATTTATTAGAAATCAAATAATTCTTTTAATTATCCCTCTCGCAGGTATCATGGATGGTAGTAAATTTGAATGGGGAGGTAAAATTATCGCTACTTACTGTATAGAAGTCTTAAGCTTGCTGCCTATCTACTGATTGAAGGGACTTTCTACAAAAAGATGTTGCAATCCCAATGATCGTTGAAAAAAACTTTTGAAATAGTACTCTTAAATTTCAAACAGACACCTCTGAAAAAAAACTATCAAAATTCTGTTATCAGGAAACACTTTTTAGCCATTCTTTTAAGTAAAATTTACATAGAAAAAGTGTTAAAAAAATCTTAAAATAGCAACTGTAGTTTTTCAACGCTATTAGTGTCTGAAGAAAATGTTAAAAAACTACAGTGATATTTCAAGAGGTTTTTTCCAACATTTTCCCCCTTAAATTTTAGGTATTTCTTGTAAATTTTACTGGAAAAAATAGCCAAAATGGGTTCCCTAGTACGAAAATTTTAACAATTTTTTGAAGAATTTTTGAAGAGTGTTCTAAAAGGTCATTACTACTACGAAATAAAATTTAAATACGTTGCTATTTTTCTGTGGACTGCAAGTACCTAATGCATATCTCTTCGTCAAATGGAACTCATCTTATACCTAATCGTTTGAAAGCGGAATTATTGATCGAACAATGTACCTAATAATATATTGCAATTTTGGTAAAAAGAAGAAAACAAGAAAAACGCAATCTTTTTTTAAATTGCATTGTGTAACTTGAGAGCATCATACAGAAGAGTTGTCCGAAAGGTAAGTTTTCTGATTTCATATGTTCTGAATGAAAAGTGATTAATCAAATCAGTATAAAAACTGATATGTGCAACATATCTTTAGCAAAACTTGCATCTATAAAATAATAATAAAGTAAAGCTACTGAACTATTTAGTCTTTCTTTCTCAAGAGATTTGAACGCGAGGGGAGAAAATGCAAGAAAAACCGTAGAAATTGTATTAATTGGCCTGCTTTAAATCTTAGATTAACCAATATCACCATTGCCTCGATATTTAAGAGCTCTCAGATTTTGCACTGGTCAATTAAAACAATTATTACTGCTCTTCCTGTATTTTCATCTTTACAACGTTGCGATGCAATTATTGTGCCCCTTTGACTTACTTTTGCCCTTGCCCCTTCAATTTGGCAACGTGATGATACAGAATGACGTCACGAACCCTCTTATCTTATCGTCTTCTGATTCGCTGTCATCATTTACATCATCAAGATGGTGGCGCTGCTGTTTTTATCAGTGGTCCTTCCTTGTATGAATTCAAAACAAATATCAGCTGGCCATTGAACCTTTCCTCGCATATTGGGATCGGGCGACAGTATTCCTTCAAACAATGAGTTTTTTATTGTGAGTATTGTGTTTTATTTATTTCAAACTTATTACTGAATTATTGTACTTACTTTTAAATATTTGAAGTATCGTTGTTTACCCACCCCACAAGTACAATTGCATTTTGCTTCGGGATGTTGTTGCATCAGTCCTGATTGCGACGAATGAAGGATTTTGATTAGTTCATCTATTTCATCTTTCAGAATTTTTCTCTCTTTTTATATTATTTTGACCTTTTCTTCTGAATCCAAGTTTCTTACAGTCTACCTGGTACCCTTCCCTACCAATGAGTCATTCAATAATCTGGATGTAATAGTCATCCTCCATTTCGATTTCAAGCAACTTCTGAACTTCCTCTTAAATAGCATGAAACAGAGGTTTAATCAATGTGCAGAGAATAAACAATCTGTAAGACCTAAAATATTGCAGTGATTAGAGAACGTTCATCTGATACAATTAGATGCAAATGAGACGCCCTTAATTTGATAATGCAAGTTCAGCATTATCAGATCAATTTCAAGGGCGGGAGTTATACTTATGAACAAGTTCTGGAGCTCTAATGCTGCCGTGATCCTTCTTAGTTTGAAGTGATAACGTTGATGACTTTTTCCCCCTAGGTACTTTATATGCATTGTCAGCTGAGCTACATTTGCCTTGCTCTGAGTAATTCTCCAGAAGTAATTAAAAAAGGAAAATGGAAGATTACAGCCAATAGTTTAATCGCACGATCACTGATCAGTGATTTATTTTTAGTTCAGTAATCATGCTCTTCCTTCTCCAAGGTTTCATACACACATTAATTTACCATTCGTGTCATTTAATTTTGAGTGCAGAGTAACTTTGATGAGTAGTATGTCTCTGATCTCAACTGTTGGTCTGCACTTCATGTGTAAGCAGCCCATCAAGTTAGATTAAGCATTTTGAAACCCACCTTATTTATCACCGATTTCATTTTATCATAGTGCCCTTAAATATTTGGTGCTGGCAAAGTCCTTCATTTGTTGGTGACAAATTGCTGAAAACCTGACCAGCTTTGTCATGCATAGATCCTCCAAGTAAAGCCCAATCCAGATTCAGACGGTTCAAATTTTCCCTTAACGTTGAAAAGTTGAATGGAATGTTGAGTGTAAAAAAATTTGATTAAATTACCGTTGCTTAGTGATATTGTCGTAATATCAGACATTGGCACAGGAGAATTTCCTCCAGCTACCAGTTTGTTAAGATACTAACTGATCTGTAATATTGGCCGGAAGATTTTGTTCCAACTTCCCATTCAACCGTTTTTTTTTTATTTAATTTGGTTCATGAAATTGGGCTTCCTGGCCATGATGGCAATTTTTGGGGGAAGGCAGAATACTGATATCAATTGATTTGTGTTCTCTCTTGCTGAAGTCCTCTTTTGCTCCATGTGCACCTCATATATCAAGACTCATCCTATCCTACTGTTCCCCAGGATTTTGTGTGGTCCTAATTTCTAAACTTTTTGGTCTCACAATTTGACTTTTATTTTTTTTTAAATTGTATAATTTCACATATCTATCTGTTCTAATCTTAATTCAACAGTGGTAGTCGCTCATCAAAAACATTCAAACCAAAGAAGAATATCCCGGAGGGAACACGGCAATATGATCTGATGAAACATGCCGCTGCAACACTGGGCTCAGGAAATCTTAGATTAGCCGTCGTTTTGCCAGAAGGAGAAGATTTGAATGAATGGGTAGCTGTTAACAGTAAGTACTCTTTTACTCTTTTAGTTCACCATCTTGTTTTAAGTCATTCATGATCTATTTTACACCACACATAGGATATAAGTTTTAGACAAATCCCGTAACTTAGACCAACAGCTACTGCGACCAGCTAAGATGTGTCCTTACAAATCCTAAGTAATTTTTTCAGAACTGCTCTGATAAATCCTGAAACGATGATAAAATTTGAGATTCGTTGAGAAATTGCAAACTGCTCCGACAAATTGCGATTCGTTGAATACTGTCTCAGCCATATCCTTAAAATAGTTACTTCCTAACATGATTTATTCGAACATGTATCGCATCTGTTTAGGCAAATGTCAAATATTGGCTGATAACTTGGCTTGTATAGAACTGGCACAAATCAAAGTTAACTGATGTTGGGTTTTTTTTTTAAAATCAAATTTTTGGATACTACAGAAAGTTATAACAACCAGGGGCTAGCACGGATAAAATTCAACCCCAGGAGACGCTCATACATAAAAAGAGCTCAGCGTCTGTATGAGCTGTCTCTAACCTCCCAACTGACGGATGAGGGCATATCAAGTCCCCTTTGGAAAGAATGGATAACTGGAAGTAAAGGTGCAAACGTAAAGTCGTTGAAATATTCAGCTGCTCAAACTGACACTCCTAGCTTGTATGCATCACAAGTGTTGAAAATATTTTTTCACTTGTTGAATATATTTTACCCAGTTTGAATCACCAAATATTAAATAGGTATAAAGGTAAGTATGTTCACTGAAAGAACCATTCTATCAGTAAGTATTAATTTTTCAAATCTCTTTTTTTTGTAGCTGTAGATTTCTTCAATCAAATCAACATGTTGTATGGGACCATTACTGAATTTTGTACGGAAGAAAGCTGCGTGATCATGTCTGCTGGTCCTAAATATGAATATCACTGGGCAGATGGTCTAACCGTAAAGAAACCCATCAAATGTTCAGCTCCAAAATACATCGATTATCTCATGACGTGGGTGCAAGACCAGTTGGATGATGAAGCTTTGTTTCCATCCAAAATTGGTGAGTTATCTCTTAAATTTTTCTTACGGTATTGTTGCCACCCTGACATAACCCAGTATGTAATTAGGTTCAAGCACTGAATAAATTTTAACAGTACTTTTACGAGGACATTAAGAGTTTAATGTGTGATTCCTTGCCAAATCCTTGATTTTGGAAACCTTTGAAATGATGGACGGCTCGTCTAGTCTGACTGCATTTGCGCAGACATTACATCATGGTAAAACTAATAGAGGGAGCTATGGAGAAAGATTGCAGAAAAGTCCGACACCAAGAGCAGAATAGTTCTGTTTTGTTATTGCAGTCGGTTGAACCACCTAGAAGCGTCAGCCTGTGCAGCTACATCGTCAGTGAATGGTGATCCTTTTCAGCTGGAGTTATGATTATTTTTGTCAGTTTTACTCAGTCCTGCCACCTCCTTTTTAATTCTTTATGGTTTTTTTAGAATTTTAATCTTGAATATATTTTGAGTTGTTGCTTCGATCCAAGGTATTCATCCCTTTCCATCACCATCCTCCTCAAAGGGCCTCTATTTACATCTTCCTTTCTCTTGCATTGGTGGTTTGATTTGAGAGATTACTGAATCCACATCCATCCTTGGGGGATCCCTCCTTTTTCTCAGAGGTTAATGTTCATGTACCTTTTGATGACTGTTTTCAGGTGTTCCATTTCCTAAGAATTTTTTAATTATCGCAAAAACCATTTTAAAGCGGCTGTTCCGAGTTTATGCACACATTTATCACCAACACTTTACAGAAGTTGTAAATCTAGGTGAAGAGGCACATCTCAACACATCATTTAAGCATTTCATCTTCTTCGTTCAGGTCAGTACAATGTCAAGTTAATTTTCATTCTAGTACCTCATTCTTTAAGTCAGGCCTGTAGAAAATATCTGACTGATCTGGTGATTCTAAGATTGCCGCGAGCGTCAGAATAGCTCTCAAGAAAACTGTTTAAGGATGGTTGCCACCATCAGGGAAAACTGGCAAATGCATGGAAAAATTTACAGAAGAGTCGAGGAAATTCTGTTAAATTATTCATTTTTTCTGTTGAGAAGGTGTACAACGTTTCAAACAACAAACTTTTACAAAAATATTTTAAATAATATCTTTTCAAGTTTCAAGCACCATGCATTCCACACAATCTCACGGAATTTTACCAAAATTTGACGGAGAAAAGTGAGGGAATTTTATTTTCTAAATTCGGTGGCAGCCCTGATTAAGATCCCTTTTACTACAGGTAGGCACGAATTGTCATAATATTGCAATAGTGGCCAATTTGTTGCCATTGTAAGAATTTGTTTTTGTTGGAAAGAAATGTTGAAACTAGGTAAGAATTCCAACTTAATGGTCTGTGTTATCAACGAATGTTCAAATTTATCTATACCAAGAAAAGATGCCTAACAGTTGCTCAAAAATATTTGCTTGTTGTTAGATTAATCTATGTTCTAGGCAAGCTAAATGGTCAGGTAGGGTGCAAGTTACCTCTGCTGTTTTTTTTTTTTTTTTTTTTTTTTTTTTTTTTTTAAATATAAAAAGAGCATACATATTTTATTGAACTATTACTACATGTGAAATTTTAAAATCAATATTAGCAAGCTATTTGTTTTAAAAACCTCACTATCAGCATCTAGTTTATTACTAAGCAAAAAAAAAAAAAAAAAACATTAAGAAACGTGGCCCAAATTGTACTTAACAAGGTGGTAAAATAGTATTGGATCCACACTATTTGGCGGGAAAAACAAGGCCAAAAAGTTAGAAAATTTCAATTTGAATCAGAAATTCTGAGCTCTAATGAGTATCAGTAGTCAGTACAAGATTGAGGGGTTAGAGTGTTCAGTTCAGACAGACGCATTGGAATATGAAGCTGAGCTCTCGGCAAGAGATCTGTAACGTTAAGTATGGGGTCTTATTAGACCTCATAAGTAGATCACACTTGTCAGTGAGTCCAGTTTAGCATCTCGCAAAATCAAAGACAACATCGAAACGCCGTCTTTATTACTGAGTCAATCAATAGAGTGAGTGGTAGGAGAAATCCCCATGGAAACATTTGTATTTATCTTTTAGGCAAATTTTCTCAAAATGTTGGACGTTCTTAAAAGTTGATTTAGAAAAGCATCCTCAGATTCTGTCTCGGTGAGTTAATTGCCCCAATGGCTCTGTCCTGCTTTCTGACTGTTCTACCTTGTATTATTTTCATGAGAGGGCCCCTTCATATTTTCTTGATATTTTTCAATAGGAATTTAGTCTCATTGATCGAAGAGAGTTAGCACCTCTGCAGGAACTGATAGAAAAATTAACCGCCAAGGAGAACCCGCGATGAACGAAGAGAAGAAACCCTCAAGAAATGTGCACCTTAAACTCAGCAGCCATGATCGTCGGTTGAATGCTGAACATTGTATGTGCTTTTATTACCTCTCATATTATGTGATATACGTTTTGTATCTACATGTATGATGTTGTAGGTCTGTGATAATTTATGTTGATCGTTGAGAGCAATGTGTCTCACATGGTCCCATTTTAAGTTTTACTCTGTAACATCTCCAAGCTTTGATTACAAGGCTCAGGAGTCTTAAATTTTTTACCCTGTCTTTTTCAATCCTAGCTATCTATTTTAGTAACTATACAATTAATTTCTTTGAACCAAAGATTAACATCTTTTTAGTACCATCACGTTTGTGGAATACATTCTCATATATGTATTAATTTTGTAAATACTGAAAACCACTCACCTGTAGATTCTTTCAAACTGTGAAGCATAACTTTTTCAAGGGTGTTTTAATTCGTGAACAAACCAGAACATGCAAAACTCAACCAATATTAAAGATCCGCAGTTGAAATTTTGTTTGTTAAGTATATTGCATTTTATTTTAAGAAGAAATCTTGCAGCAGTCAAACCAAATGAAGTTGCAAATACGCTTGAAGTTCTTTTCAAGGGATGAAATTCATGTGTGTACTATTTTTGGCGATACCAGTTTGGAATCCAGTTGAACTGTCATATTCTAAACAGTATACGTGCCTCTCACCCACATTAGATAAATGTCAGTCCTTGTATTATATTGAATGTACATCCTTTAGAAAGAAACATATTTTGACCAAAATACAAATATCATTAGCAGGCTGAATAATAATATTTTCTGTAAGTTTCTCTAATTTGTTCAAGTAGCAATCGAATCCACAAGAAAATAATTGGCTCAGGTGCATTTTTAAAATTGTTATTAGTTATGTGAGAATGACAACCTCTTTCAACCTCTCTTTTCTACCTAAGAATTGAGAATAAATTGTCAATTAATGTTAAATACATATCCATTATTAAGTTAACCATTTGAAGTTTTTCAAAAACTGTAAAAAGTACGAAGAACAAATGCTTGTAATTTTCCAGGGATCTGTACAACATTTTTGCCAGGCATTCTTCTCTCAATGAATGATAAGCTTATTCTTCACAAAAAAATTCTGGTGAAAAGTAGTTGTTTCACTACATCTTTGTGGGTGAACTTCTGTGACTTTCCCCCGAAAAAAACATTCAGGAGTATTGTGAGGGTACTTCTAGAAGTGACTGTGACAAAAGTGATCCTGTGTTCGGATCGGGCAAAACAGTGTGCTCTTATCGCAGTTTTTTTTCTTAAAAATTCAAAAGTATGTGAGGGAAAACCTCTGGTATCTCAATAAAAAACTTCATAGTTCGTCTGATAATTCAGATTTTGTTGAAAGTAAGAGCATCTCGCGGCATGAAGCTGATGCAAGAATAGTCGTCAAAGTTTTACTGGTTTTTTTTTTACTTACTTTGATATATATTTACCTGCCTATTTTAGATAAATGTAACGGCATAAAAATGCTGTTTTTGTGTTCAGGAGCATTTCAAGATCTGATGTGGACAAAGAAGGATGTCTGTATGAGAAACCTAGATACTTATCAGCAGAAAATCTTTTCAGTTTCTCACTGATAGTCCCAGTGATGACCCCTGTAAATATTCACCGAAAAAAACCCTCATCAGCAAACTTTTCTGATTCCCAAACTGAAAGGAGTTAAAAAGGATTTGACTCGGCATAATGATGTACAAGGGGTGTCCACAGGGGCACTGCACAGGGCTTGGGAGTTGAACCAAAATTGAATCAGTAAGAACGAAAACACACCAACTCGAAAAATGAAAATAATCAAGACACGCAAAACTGCACAGTAGCTGATGAAGTCAGCACAAGGAAAATATTTGCTGCGGAAAGACAAGTACTTAAAGACACTTTGAAGGTCCAAGTTGGAATAGATGCGTTAATTTCAATGACCTTCATGAAAACTGACTCTCGTTACTGAAATTTGAGCATTTTTGAGTTACCGGGTTGGTGTGTTTTCGTTCTCACTGATTCAATTGCTGATTTCTTCTTATACAGGGAGATAACTGAGGATTCTTTTCAAGCATCAATTGGACCGCGTTAAACAGAAAGGAACCAAGCCACATCAGCTATTGAGGAGTTTAATTGGGGAATTAAATTTTTTACATGAAAACGGTTCTGCGGATTTTCGGGCAAATTTCAGTGAAAATTTTCCATGGTGCGAAGCAAATTCCTTAAAATTTTCAAAGAAATCCGAACAAACGTTCTCTCATAAAAAATTTAATTGCCCAGTTGAACTTGGCAATAGCTGATGTGGCTTGGTTCCTTTTTGTCTAACTCGGTCCAATTGGCTCTGGGGAGCCTGCCTCCAATGTTTGGACAGTCACTACATAGAATCAAGCTGAAATCGGTTGCATTGATGGCAGATTTCTAAAACCAAACGTTCCATTTTGTTTTCCAATTCGTCAAGGATTTTTTGTGAAGTCTTTTACCAAAAAATCAGCTGATGGGCTGTTATAATCAAAGACAGACAGATGGCCTATCCAAAGTAGAAGTAATTCTTTTAAAGTAATTCCTTTGTAAAGTTTAAATCATACCAAATTATGATATTTTTAATAAGAAAAAAAAATCAAGTAGGCATGGAAGTATCGAAACTTTACAATTTTGGCATGTAGGTCATGAGTCCATTCATCCAAGAAGTCACGGTTCCAAGGGAGCAATAATAGAAAAAAAAAAGGAAAAAAAAAATTTCCTGCCAAATAGGCACTTTCTGCTTCTGGAACCTCTCTCTTTCTGCAAACGAATTATTCTGAACTCTTTATGGTTTGATTGTTTTAGGGTTCGGTATTTTTATAGGATGTATAGAATAAAGATCTTATAAATCTCTTTGGAATGATAATATATAAAAGAAAACCACCTTTGCATGAACCACCCTCTTATTTATTAGATTTTATTTTCTTAAACTTTCTCATAGTATGTTTCATGAATGTAAATTAATGTCAACTTCCAATATTGTTCCAATCACTGATTCCCGATTATTAATATATTTAAAACAAAAATAGATGTATTTTTTTCATTCCCTTCCCATTTTCAAGTGACTCAGAAACTTATTTTCCGACAATATATTGAATAGACAGGATAGCTGTTGGCTGGTGATTTTACCGATGTTGGTTTAAATTCAGTATACAACTAAAATTCTCATTACAGAGGGAAATAATAGCTCTGTACGTTCATAAATAATTTTAAATGATTTTCCTTCAAAACAGCTATCTTATCGTTCAAAATATTTTTTCTTGACTTGCATTTTTTCACGAGAGAAAATTTGGGACTACATGAATCCAAACTTACTGACAGTAGAGTCCATGCACTTTTAGACTGTCATCTTGATTCATGCATTAACTTTAAATGCTAAGCTGACGTCAAATGATTTTCTATAGTAGTCTAAAATTGCGTAAATTTGGCAAGAACTCTAACTATTTTTCAAAATGCAACTTGGTACGTTTCTACTGAGCTTGGTTTATTTTCATTTATACGTCTCAGCATAAGCCGCAACATGACTGGAAATGATAGATTGTTGGAGAAATAAACTGGAGGAAAGAAAAAGAGACAAAATTCAAACAACAAATTGTTTTATTTTTCCAGTTTTAAATAAAAAGAAAAGAATTCTGGAATGATTTTAAGTTTTATAAAATCTTAAGAAAAGATGCGAGGATAAAAAAATTGTCAGAAAGTACAAAGAGACTGAGAAATGCAACAAACTCTGCCTGCAAAGCGAAGACCACCTGCACATTGGTTTTAAAAAGAGAGAGAAGAGGGAAGGAGAGAGCTACAGCTTCAAGGGTAATATTCAGCCTCGATGATACTTTTAAATGCATTTAAATGACAAAACTTACGATGCACAAGTCACTCAAATTCACCCTTGAACATATTACAAACTTTCTTGAGAACAGGAAGCAGATCTTATTATAAACCGATACAATTTTATAAATAATAATTAAATTAAACTATAAAATAAAACAAATAAAGATAACAATCATATTTTGGTTTCGTAAATTAAGGTCATTCCTGTAAATTTAAGTGACTGAGGTAAAAAATTGTGCGGAAGTAGTCATGATGTCAAGAGAGGTGGATGGTTACGCTTGCCTGATACTTTGAATTATTTGAAAGATAGCTGCAACAGACCAAAGAGAAAAGAAAACATTAGATTTTTATAAATTAAACCTTCCTTCCTAAATTATTCTTAAAGGACTGGCTAAAATCTTCCAGAACTCAGAGAAGGGTTCCAATGGCCAACTTCCTGGATGCCTGAGGGGTCAATACGATTAGGCTCTTTTTCATCATCATGAGCTGTATCGTGAATCGACAGGAACCATCACACGTTCTTTACAGTGAAAGAGTGAGAGAGATAAAGGATTCCACTTGGAGAGCCCTTCTGTGTTTAAGTGAGGAATTTCCCACCAGATGCACAACGCAATTATTCAACAACCAGAAAAAAGTGCGTAGCACTTTTGGAAAAGCCTAAGTAAAATGGGGAGAATCCTTTGAGTTGAGTGAAGAGATTACTTTTCAAGATTTCTTACATGAAAAATCATTTTTGTGATATGTCCTCTACAGCAGTACTAGAAAAAAACACATAATTTTAAATCATGAGTTATTATAATTTTTCTTTTTTTAAGTGATTAATGATACTTATTATAAAAATCAGAATAGGTACTTCAATAAACATATAGCAAAAGTGTCAGCTGTTTACCTGAGCCACAAACAACGAATACAAATAGTGCTAGTAACCAAGGTCCGACTGGATATTTGTCATCCAAAGGTTTCTGGAACAAAAAAAGCAAAATAAAACCTTCGATTTTTGAAAAAAGAGGCTGTGAGTGCAGTACACAGAGAAGGTAAAATTGAATGCTAATGGTAGAAAGCCTCTGAATTTTGATGAGAATTTTGGTTGAAAATCCAAAGTCTTCAGGATCCAGCTCTCTCTTAGAAGATAGAGAGTTGAGTGTTGATTATCAACTTACATAATTTATACTGACCTTATGTATTATACCTTTCACCCTTGTCCTGAATGGAACCGTTCAGTTATTCTAGTAAGTACGCATCATTCATGTTTGAGCTCAAACAGCTCCTACTTCGAGAAGCTTTTTAAAGTTTTGATGAGCTACTGCTGAAAGAATATGCTTCATGCTAATTTGTTGTTTTGTTGTTGTTGTTGTTGTAATATTATCATTTGTTATTGACCTGTATAACGGCTGTAATTCCAGCTTTTATGTAAGAGAATTTGAGAATAAAATAAAGTACTTTCTGTGGAGAAATTTGAAAAAAGGAAGCCAACTTGGGTGGGCCAAATAGGTAATAAGTAATGAAGAAATACTAAAAAGTAAAAAATTTATGAGAAATTCATATGCACATTCCGAAGACAGCTCGGCAAACTCAAGAAATCTCAAGACGGATATGAGTTCTAACCACTTAAATTTTGAATATTTCTTCATTTATGACGGAGTTGTACAGTCATTCAATCTCTAAAACTGCACCCTATTATATGTCACTTAAACAGAGGAGTGGAGAGAACTATCTACTGAGCAGATTGTGTTCTTAGTTCACAATGGAGGTAAAAGCATTCTATATTTCATCCTAGCGAATTCTGGCTATCTCCCTGCCCAGCGCTGGATATGGAGAGGGGGGGATCTCTCCAAAAACTAATACATCCGGTGAGTACAAAGGTGGTAACTTAGTGCAGGACAGGTAGAATGTCTGAAATGGGGGAGTAGTCACAGATGAAGTGATTACTTACAAATACCTCCTTCTTTGGGTGTGTGGAGTGTAGACCGAACTCGACGCAGTAAGTTTTAATACATATCGATTGCTCTTTCTTGTGAGGATTGGATATTTTAATGCTCAATTTGTACAAAAATGTAACTATGTGCAATGGGAATAGTACTTCCTTGATGAACAAAGTTTGTAATTTCATGCTGAATCAAAAATTAGGCGGTCCTCACAACCTGAATCTCTCTGCGTACTTCCGAAGAGAGAAAGAGAGTATACTACCACATGATGCATTTTGCTTCCTTCATTTGAATGGTTGAGGCTCCTCTAGACAATCATTGGTGCAGTACTTTCCAAAATGGGATTCCCCCTAAGACCTCCGCTGTGAGTTTTTCAAAGCTATTGATGTGGCTAAGGCACCATCGGAGAAAGTACCTTGAGGAGAGCTTTAGACTTACTTCTTCGCTACGAATGCTCGTCTTCTAAAAATAATTGAGAGTTGTATACTGAATAAATAAATTAGTGTGGAAGTAATCAGTTGAGAGCAAATAAGCCGACCTTACTGAAAAAAAGCATACTCACAGATGATTTGGGTACATTTCCTCGCTGGGTGACGTTTTTGCTGGCCTTCTCGTTGGCGATACGCATCCTTTGTTTGGGAGCCATGGTAAATTTAAATTTTTGTTTATTCACAGCAAACTACACGAAATTTCCTGAACACTAGCTTTAGCAAAGTAATGTATCCATGAATGCACTTTTGAAGTGTCAAAAATTACGACGTGTGTGCGTGTGTCGACGTCAACGCTTTCACCAGACATCGGTACGTGTCGTTTTGGTGAATGTTGAGTGGTGTATTTGAAAAGTCAATGTTGCCAGATGTACAAGAAAAACAGGGCAAAATTAAAAACAATTTTAACCTCAAATTATTATCTGGAGTTTTCCAAAAAGGATTTATCGAACTCAGAGAAGCGCATTGAAGTTCATTCGAAGTTTTATAGAAGCTTGCTGTGAATTATATTTTCCTAACTTTTTCGTAACTTTAAACACTTTTTTCTACCCGTTCATTCACTGTGCTCTTTTTTGTGTGTGTGTAAGTAAGTCTGCAGTGAAAATTATTTTGACCCAAGAGAGTTGTTCTATGCCTTCAAGTTTTGTATTTGTAGTTGTAACATGGAGAGTTACCCTATAATTTGTCAATATTTGTTCTGCAAATCAATCCTCGTTTTATCAATTGTTACATTATCAACTCCGCTCATGCCTTATCAACCTGATGACAAGTCCTTCTCGACCAAAATAAAGGCGGACACATGCCCTTCCCCTGTGAAAAACTATTTTGACTCGTCAACAAGTATATCAAAGTTTTGTGATTTTAGTGCTTCTCTTCCCTATTATTCTGACGATCAACCATTATTCTGTAATGGGTTATTTGATCTGCATTCTTCTCTCTGTGCTGTTCTTGCTTCAACGAACAACAGCTTTGGAGACTCTCCCACTAACAGTTTAGTTGTCAGTCAGACAGAGAATGTAGCCGATTTTTGCAAGAAATGGAAAACTCAGTCCGAGGAGGGACTTACATCGGAGTTATTCAACCAACATAGCTTTTCAGTTATCACCAAAAAATGCCGTCGCGTGTGTGGAACCTTAGATGAAGAGGAAAAAGTTAACCAAATGTGCCCTTTGTTGCTGAGAGGCTCTCAAATTCTATTGGAAATGCGAAAACCATCCCAGGAATCAGATTCAAGTAAGTTTAATTTATTTGTTCCTATTCAACTTTGTGGGGCTGGATTTATGTGGAGGTGTTGCCAGCTAAGTTAGTATTTGTTAATTTTTTATTGTCTCGTACAATAAACCAATTTTCCTCCCTGAGCGTTGATAATCATACCATGGTCAATCCTTGGTTACCTACTCCTTGAATCGACTGCATCTTAGTCGCTTCCAAATGGAAAGCTAACAATTATCAACTTAGCAAACACCACCTCTAGGAATTTTGAGCCCCTAGATGCAGGTGGTGCTCCGTGAATGCAAGATCCTGGAAAGGAGGGGGGTTTGGTGGTCAAATTACTAGGAGTCAAGGCAATTAGATTAAAGAGAGTAAGTGATTGAAATGGCATTTTTGACTGCCCAAAGAATTGCAACTTTTGATCTCAGGGAGGACCACCTGCCTACCTCAGAACCAGGTCCAGCGCGGTGTTGTTTCCATCATGTTCACATAGCCTTCCCTGCTAGTCCATCCCTTGCCTTCTGCCCCCTGGTCAGAGCAAATTTACCACACAGGTTTTTTATCATTTTAAAAATCCTCTCTTACTTATTTTCCACTGATTTGAATCCAGCTTGCCACCCTGATGAAAAATGTGTATACTTAGGTAATTTGGCGAAGTAGCGCTCCTTCACCGCGCCCAGCCCTCCTGGCGCACACTGGGTGACTGGCATGCACTGTCAATGGGAGCCTCAAACCGGACTTTCCGGAACTTTTTCGGGGTGTTTCCAGGGCATATTGGAAAAAACAAAAAAAACAAGGTCCTAAGTAATGGATTCATCCAAAGAGTTGGTACGAACTTTTTGAGCCCGATTGGAGGTGGCAGATTTGGAAGTTCCCCTTGTTGGTCTAATTTTTTGTGCAATACCTGTCGTTCCTCAGCCTAAGGCATAAGTGTATCTGCAGTGTAGATACTATTTAAGTTTGAAAGTGATTTGCATCTGAATGTTATTAATTGTCTCTCAATTTAATTTTTTTGCAGGAAAAGAATCCATCTCTAAAAGTGTTAGTTCAGTCGGGGAAATTCCCTCAGGAGCAAATAATAAAAATGTCAATCAGGGTAACTTAGAAGCAAAGGAAGCAAAACCCTCTAATACTGCAAGTATCCCAACAGCAGTCGGAACTTCTGAAAATGTAGGAGAATTGTCACCAATTAAGGACGAAGTTATAGAAACCCCTGACAATTTAGAAGAAGCATCCAAAAAACTGAATGAAGGTTCAGAATTTAAAGAGCCACCACCATCAAGTACGAAGGATGATGTGGAAAAAACTTCACCAAACAAGGAAATATCCAGTAAACCTCAGGATAGCTCGCCCAAAAGAACAGACATGGATCCTCTTTTAACTGCTGTAAATGGCCCACCCATTGAAGAATTGAATCCTGGTATCGACCCAGAGAGACAGAATCCTTTGCCACTTGAAGAAATAGACAATGAGGGTAAAGTGGAGTTGCTTAATAGAACTCCCGAAGGAGATAGAAAAAACCCCCTGGGCCGCCCGGACATCAACAATGGAAATGTTCAGCATGATAATAAATTAGAAGATCCCAATCTAAACCCCTCAAAAGCTAAAACTGACATCCAAGATCCAAGTGAGTAACCGTATTTGTCTCTTAAGAGGTCTGCAATGTGTTCTATATATATATATTTTTTTTTAAAGAATGAAGAAAAACGACATAGACATCAACCCAAGAAACCCTCTTTTCATACCCTATTATGAAATACAAATGTCTCTGTTCTGTCTCTTTTGGAAAGTGTAAGCAGGAACGAGTTAGGCATGAGAGAGATTTTCGACTGAAAACAACTCTTATTTCAAAAACAGTGATCTTAGGGTTGTAAAGCATATATTTTTTTTTTTTTTTTTTTTTTTTTTTTATTAACTGTCTCTTTCAATAAGAATTTGCACCTACTAATCATGAAAGTTCAAGTCAGTAACATCAGATGCCTACCTGTTATGGAGGGATGATAGCTTAACAGAATTTCACCTACAAAACTTCTTTGAAATTCTTATGAATTCCTGTATTGCCTCATGAATTTTTTCCGATACTTTTTGCTCTCAATAACTTCACTTGGGTCATAGTATTGATTACTTTTTCTTTTAATTTTTTTAGATTATGAGGATGATGAAGACATCAACAATCGTAAGTTTTTTTAATAACTATCTATTGTCCTACAATCATTTTTCTCACTATCAGCTGAGTAATACAAGACAAGTGTTGATGTATCTGCCCTGTATCTTGATTGCTCCTCTGTTTCAGAAAATATCTATTCCTCTTTGAGCTTTACCTTAATTATTTTTCCATTAAATTTTAATCATTGCTTCTCCCTCACTTTACTCCCTGTAGTTTTCACAACCATCCAATCCAAACAAATCAGTTCCACATTAGATTTACCCTAAAAAGCTTGACAGTAGTTTGTTTTGCAATCATAATAATCATTGACACGCCCTTTTTTATTTACTTCATCGTCTGATAAAAATACTTGAGAAACATAACTAAGCACTGCCACAACTTGTGATCAATTTTTTATAGAGTAGCTCTTTGTCCGTCACTCATATCTTTATCATCGCTACAGTTTTTCAGACATCTGAAATTTATTTTTTAGGTACCCCTATCAATTTTATTTATCATCTTTTCAATCCTCTCTATTAGATCTTTCTCAAAACAGGCCATCCTCATTTTTTTGGACAGCCTTTGTACTCAATGACCACGCAAAGAATAGTCTCACTTGCTCTAAGCTAGTATGTGTGTGTGACTCCTATCAACCTTTTTCTGCATCAATTAAATGAACAACCACATGAATGGAAGTGCGCTCTGCATCAATTAAATGCATAATACAGCTTTTGAATAGTGTGCACCAGACAGACTGGATAATCTTAAAGCCTTGCACTTTATACTGTTTGTATGTCACCAGAAAACGAAAGTCCTATCTTTTGCTTCTGCATAAGAAATGAATGAATCCTGTTTGTGTTGCAGAAAATTCCGTTGCTGAGCTGTTGAGTTCTAAGAAAGAATTTCCTGAAAGTGATGTTTTTGTGGAGGCGGAAGATTCCAAGTTTTTTCAGTGCTTCATGATCATTTCAGCAGCTTTTATACTTGGTTACGTAGCAATAGTCAATAAAAAAAAGGTATGTACCAGGACAAAGATGTGACTCCCGTATTTTCCAGTTTGGAAAATAAATTTGAAAATCTTACCTAAAAAAATTTGTTTAGTTCAAGCGGGCCTAGGGAACAACATGATGGAAGACAAGTCCAATTTAGGTTTTAATAAACAAGTCTTGGATTCCACAGAGGATCTATGAGCTCTTCTGTGGACTTCTGAAGGGGCCTTTAGTTGCATAATTTTGGGAATCATTTATCAATAGGAAGGAAGATTAAAGAGATTACTCAAAACTGATGAACATCATCTAAACCCTTAATGATTTCAAATTTTAGAATGATATTTTTCCATCTGAATACTTGCTAGGTATTTCAAGCGTTCAAAAATGTAATTATGATTTCACCAATGTGAGTCCTAGAAAGGTGATGAATGTAAGAAACATGCTAGTGTACATAAAGCACCAAGTTACTTCTCAAAATAATGAAAATTCTGTCATTCATGCTTATTTCTGGTGAACTGCCAAGTTGCCAACATAATAATTAAGTCTGTTTAACTAAAAATAACACTTTTCGACCCTGCCTGGCAAATCTAGCTTTACTCAAAATTGTTTTTTGTGGTGAGCAGTATAAAGCTCTAAATTGAGTTGGCACCTGAATTGGAAAAAGTTCCTTCAAAACATTTTTCATGCAATGACAAAGTTTTTTTTTTTTTTTTTATCTCTTCTTGTCCATATCTCAAAGCAATGAGACATTTGTTGAATGACAAATAAATTTTACCATCAAGACTTTCCTTTTATCTATTTCAGTTAATAGCACTTATTGTGGAGGGTAGACGTAGTAGCACCAAGCGTCGACATCACTCAGCAAGCTATAGCAAACTTGATTCCAACCTTGAGGAAGCTTTGAGTTCAAATCATACAGCTGTTTTCTCTAGTCAAGTTTTATATTGATTTGCATACTGAAACGTTGGTAAGTCTTATTTTAAATAGTCTCCTATAATTGCATACGGTAGACGCCCACTAATTCAAAACTCCAAGGGCCAAGGATTCTTTTAGACTCGAAGAGATATGGAATTGTAAAGAATGATTCAAAAAAATTGGAATTAAAACGATTCTTAAATGAGTTCTATAATTTAGAGGAAGATAGTCAATTGCTCTACAATTCAAAATAACGGACATCTTTCAATTGATATTAAAGCTTAAAGAAAGGAGGGTATGGATTCATGGATCATGGAATCATGGATCGATTCGTGTCGATCGAATCGACACGGGTTTTGTTAAATTAACTGTCAATTGATTCATGTCGATCGATTCACATTCTTGTTTTTCGATCGATTCATGTCCATCAAATCGACACTGGATTTTTAATACCTAATTTGTCGATTGATTCACGTTTTCATTTTTTGATCGAGTCATGTGGATTGAATCCATACCATCCTTAAAGAAGAAGAGACAAAGATTTTGACGTATTGCACAGCCAGGGTGTTTGTTTCTGTAAAAGTAGAGATATTCATCACAATGGTAAAAAACTCCTCTAGAGTTAATTTTCCCCTCTAGATTTACGCTGTTTGGAGCAACACTAGTAATAACTCATCAGGAAGGTAACTACAAACGCGTTGTTGATCTGATTGGATCCATTATCATTGCAGAGCAGCCTCCTGACTTTCTGCTTCTAAGTTTGGAGATGGCGTCAAAACGGCTCTCAGGTTTAGGCAAGCAGCTGCAGCATCAAGAGAATTTACTGCCATCTAGTGAGCAATTAACCAAACAGCACATGTACATGGCTGGCAAGCAGACGTTACAACGTTGGCAGTTGCTTTCCTGATTGGTCGTTACTAATATTGCTCCAAACAGCATGACTCCATAATGAAAAATTCACCCATAGGAGTTTCTTTCTCTGTGTAATGAATAGCTCTGTTTTCACAGAAGCAAGCACCATAGCTATGATGTCATGGCCAAATTTTTGTCTCTAATCTTAGAGGTGTTTCATACCCAGTTTTCATGCACTAAAAAAATCTCAGGGAAAGGTAAAAATACACACCTGTCAAATCTAGAAAATATTGATTCGGCGGATAAATCGTGAACTTAGGGTAGTTTGGGTCTGTTTGTCTTCAATACCTACTTATTCTTGCATCTTCGCTATCCTCTTCAAATAAAAGAGTAATCCTTGTAAAAAAATCTCATAATGCATAGATCAATACACATCGTTCGACCAAGCTCCTTTGTCACTTGAAAATATTGATTTTATATCCAGAAAGAGTAGTAAAAGCTGGATTTTTAAGCTGCTTTGAATCTAAAAATGGTCAATTTCACTGCGTCTTGTGATTTTGCCACATTGCCTGGAGAAAATTAAAGAAGCGATCATCAGTCACTTTAACAGGATATTATCAATTTTAAGTGCTGTAATTAATTTTTGATTCAATAGAACAATTTTCTCTTTGATGTCTATGATGATTTGCTGATTTGTTTGTCTGTTGATTTGCTTTTGGATTTCTGCATCGTTTTTATTAGTCACTGAAGAATTGCATTTTTGTTGTTTTCAGTAGCCACTATACTATGTATTTCCTTATTGAGTCATGGGAATAAGGAACTACGTTACCTTGCACTTGATCCCTGAAAGGGATACGTAGATAACATGGAAATGGCCAAGACTGAAAAAAAACCACATGGACACCTCAACATAGTGGTTTTAATTTGGTTCATCAATTTCTAGTCGCTGCAAGGACTGTAGGAAATCATTTTCTCCCTCATTGTGACTTGTCGAAAAAGAACCTCTGCTCACATATTGTCAACAGGCTTTGTGGAATGGTGTAAAAAAGGTCAAAATTAGGTTGACAGTTCTTGATGGCACTTATCGGGTCCTGTATCTGAATTGGTGTGGAAAGTCTCAGCTTCAAATGCTGTTTGGGGTACTTAATGGACTTTTTCTGATTATGCACACAATTCTATGAAAAGGTGGATACTACACAATTTGGAGCCAGTATCTAATGACGTAGCTTTTGTGTTGTGCCTTCAGTTTTAGTATTGCTGAGTGTTCTTTTTATTTTACTGAGTTTCTAAAGAATGGCAAATTTAAATAATAGTATCAGATTTGACCATTTTATGTACATTCTTGCATAGAATGAAGCAATCTCTTAATGAGTGTTGTACTGTACCTTCTCCAACTTTGCCGATAGGAATATTTGATACTCACAAAATCTTCTGAGAAATTCGTAATACCTGTGAAAAAATCGGTATATTATTATGATGCAGGGTTGAAATAGCCTAGATCCTTAGTTATGCACCATATATATTGCACTCATTTGGTGCAGTTGTTAAATTGATCTATGTCCAATGAAAAATTTGAAAAACACTGTATCTTCAGATTGTAGTGTTTTCAAAGGTATGCTCGCTTTTGAAGCTCCCAATGCCAGTAAACTACTTTTGCTGTGTAACATCTAAGTGTGAGGTATGGTCAGACAAATAATAGCTGAACTCGACAAAAGACTGAATAGGTATAGCCTTTAGAAAAATGATGTATCACAGTTTTCAAGGAATGTTTAGTTTTAACACTCTCTACAGGTATCCATCATTGTTGAGGAAAATGATTTGTCGGAAAGTAAGGAAACAGTTGTAACAAGGGTTTTTTTTGGGGGCGAGAGAGATCTAGTCCAGTGAAAGTCAGCAGGAAAACTTGCAAGAGTGGCTGTATGGAGCAACAACAGGTTGGCATTTGTAAGGGAAAGAGGAGGAGAAGATGATGTGATTTCTTAGAGTATCGTAAGTAAAAATTGATTTTCCTATTCGGAGATGGGTAAAAGAATAGTTTAGGTGCACTAATCGGGTGCAAGAGGAGGGATTTGTCCTTTGTAATTAAGAGCTTCTGCCTATCATGGCTTTCAGAGGATGAAAGCACCTTCTAACTGATGGGACAAGCGATAGGAGAAAAGATACTAGTGTCCTTAACATGGTTTTGCTAAAAATAACATTTTTTTCCACAACGTGCACAAAATACACCATTGAAACCATCACCACGAATGGAACTTTTTGTTGGTAACCAACAGATTTTCCTGTTCTAAAAGTTAGTCTGATAAACAGTCTGACCAAGTACCTGAAGGTTTAGAACTGATAACTTGAAATTTGTAAGAAATGGCAGATAAAACATCCAGTTTTGCCAAAATTCACCTCATTTTCTCTCTGAACAGAATGTCTCAAACTGATAACCAGTGCACTATTTGAGTATTTTGAAACTCTTCTCTAAATTTCATGTGCACAAAAAGCAAAGTGCTTTGATCTTCATTAATTCTAAGTTTACTTTTTAGGTAGGAGAGTCTATGAGATCTCAAGGGAGGGGGAATAGAGACTTATCGACTCTCTACATATTACCCTAGTCAAAAGGAATAATTCACTAAAAGTTTGAATTATTTACCTACTTCGATGGGTCCTCATGACGTTTAACTGTGTAAATACAACATATTTTTTTTAGAAGACTTCTTTCTTTTTTTTAAAAAAAAAAAAATGAAAAAACCCTATATGTTTTAAATAATGTTTTTTTAAAAAACTTGTTTTTGTAGTTATACATATATTATTGTCCTAATAATACTTTAAAATTAAAATGTGTCCTTCATGAACTAATTAATTTCCTTAATTTTTTGTAAGTTTAACTGTTAAGTTTTAAAAGGAGTCTGATATGGAGTCGGATAAAGATACACCCAGTCACTTCAAAGGCAGTGGAGGGTCTGGCAAAAATTTAAGTCCAAAAATTGGGTTTTTCATACTTTTCCATCTGTTTTACTTCCACTCCCATTTTTTCTGGTGAATGAGTTGCAAGAGGGGGGGGGAGGGCTCCCCCCTGTACTCCATTTTAATCCGCTATTATAAGAAGATTTTTGGTGAAAAGCAACCGACCTCCATCAAAGTCATCCTCCAATATATTTAAGATCAAATAGAAAGAACAGCTGTAAATTATTTGAGTACCTATGCTATAGAAATTTCATCATTTTGCACTAGCAATATGATACAATTCTCAGAAATTTTTTCTGCCAGAGAGGAACCACTTTTTTCGGGGAAAATAAATTCTATACATTTTTATGGTCATATTTTTTATGATCTGGGAGGATAGATACATGTGGCGTTTGGGTGTCGCAAAACGCCAGAGTGCGTTGTAGGAGCGACTTTATATATTTACTAAACAAATGCTTCTATTGAAATTTTTTTGTGAATTGTCCTCTTACACTCAAAAAAATTTGCACAAAATTGCAAGAAAACATTTTAATTAGTTTCCCTTGGAGAATATTAAACATAATCAGAGATTTTGGTACCTATCAATTGAGATACGCATTTTTCACATTTAACCATTGATATTTACTTTAATTTGAAATGTCTTGAAATTTAGTTAATGTGGGTTAGTTTTTGTAAAAAATATTGAATGGAGCAGCTGCTCCTCGTGATTTTAAATTGTTCTGACCATTCTATTAAGTAACAAATTGTAGGACTTTTACCTAATACGTTTTAAAAAATATGCACTTATGCAGTGTTTATTTTGGAAAAAGAAAACAAAGTAAAATGAAATAAAATAAAAATTAGCACCCAATCCCAAAAAATAATACTCATTAGGTCTACTAATTACTTGTCAGATGAAGTTACTTGCTAAGTGTCACTTCAAATTTTTATAAAAAGATCGGCTCCATTGTCTTGAACTCTATTCTATACACTTTTCACCTTTTTATCATTTATTTAGGTATTCGTATTTATGTTGATATTTTTAAATGACACCCTATGTTTCTTCATGCTTTCTTATTAGCTTTTTTCTGTTCAAACGTAAGTTTTGTGTGGTAGCAGGTAATTTCTCCTAACTTTTCAGTCTCTGAAAGCTCAACTCATGTAAATACTCAAAAATTTGAATAAATTTTGTTAATTTCCTCCACAAATTTACTTCATTCATTGATATTTAGTGCCTTTTCATTTAATTTGTTTGTACATACTTGCTTTTAGCATTACGATCAGTAATTTGTGCTTTATTTTTATCTAAGGAAAGCGAAAATGAATTATTGTAATTTCCTTGTGGGAAGTGTAGGTTCAGTAAAGCCTCCCAGCCACCCCTAATTTCTTCATTCATGCACAACGCCTTGTAGCACGAGAAAATACATGCTCAGTGAAAGTTTATATATAGGAACAGTTTTTTAATGGTTAAAGTTGTGTATCATTAACGCAATGATTAAGTAACTGTATGATAACCTTTTGTTTATTTTTATACAACATCTATTTAGACTGTAAACGTAGCTATTAATAATTAGGTACATAATCGTTCATAGTTCAGTGCGATTTACCTATCATCAGGGTTTTTCTTTGAAAATTTCGCCCTTAAAGATCGAAAATGTTATTGTGAAAGGAGAAAAAAATTCTAACTAAGGACGACTCTTTGAAAAAGGTTCAAGGAAAGTCTACAGATCATGCTCAATTGCTCAGATACCTGAATTTTTCGCGACTTCTAGGACCGGCATCGTATTGTAGGTAATGCATTCAAAGAATCACTAGGTACTTCTCATTTTTTCGAATTTAAAGATCGCCTTTCTGTTGTCACGAGACTAGAGAATTCGTGTACCAAATTTGACAAAGAAATTCAACGTAATAAAGGCATCGTTTTTTAGAGGAAAAATATCGCATCCGATACTGACATCAAAACTACACTCGAATGCGATATCTTTCCTCTGAAAAAACCATGCCTTTATTAAATCGAATTTCTTTGTGAAATTTGGTAGGTACGTGAATTCTTTAGTCTCATGACAACAGAAGTGCGATCTCAAAATTCGAAAAAAATGACAAGTAGCTGAAATTATGGAACGAATTGATGCGATATATTGCACGTCGCTTTGACACAAAATATGGCAAACCATTGAATCACCATAAGAACAAGTTGTGCAGCAATTGGACAGGTAATAATAGGGTGCAGGAAATGAAGCATTCAGGAAAACCTTACACACCCATAACTTTTTCTATAAAGTATAGGAGGGTTTCGGAGTACCTACATTTTTCGGACTATCGACAATGTCGAGATGAAATCCAGCAAAAGCGCCCTATAGTAGCAGAACCATAGAAGGAAAAGATAAATATTATGCACGAAAGTTAATTTTTTTTATGTAACGCACGCATACAAAAGTGTTAAAAGTGAACATTTTTATGTAACCATTCTATAAAAAAAAGTCATAATTTTCGTGAGCTTTCCGCAAACGTAAATCTTCTAATTCCCGAAAAGCTTACGAATATGACCTTTTTTTAATACAATAGTTACATAAAAATGTCCTCTTTTAACACTTTCGTATGCATGCGTTATGTAAAAGAATTGTCTATTTAAAAAAAAAAAAATTACCTTAGCTACCTTTTCTCATTTTTCATATCAGAATTGAACTTATCCTTCAAGTCTGAACTTTGATTTTTTTTAATATAGGTAAGCGCTACACGTTTTTTATATAAAACTACCATTTAGATACCTAACAGATATGTTTTTTAATACTTTTTTTTAGGAAAACAAAAATTTGTTCTGCTACTAGAGCGGACTTCTTTGCTACTTTAGATGAAGCTGGAATTATAAGTTAAGAGGTAGGAGGAAAAGCGCCCTCCATTGCCAAGTGACTCATGCGAAGAACACTGAAGAAATTTCAATATACCGCCTTGATGCAACTACTCGGGCTCCGTGGATGTCCTTGTTGCATATAAACAGAAGGGAAGGCGTTTCGCCTTTCCAGAAAGTCAACGCTTAACTGCCACACAGCGGATCGAGTCACGAGGAGAGGTCGGCTTTGACTCCTTAGGAGCCAGGTGGGCGACCCCTGCTTTGGCTCCGTAGGGGCCAGGTGGGCGTCCCCTGGTTTGGCTCCTTAGTTGCCGGGTGGGCGGCCCCCGGCTTTGGCTCCTTAGGGAGCAGGGGGATGGCCCCCGGATTAGGCTCGTTGTTGCAAAGGGGCTGGCTCCGGCTTAGGCTCCTCAGTTGCCGAGGGGGCGGCCCCCGGCATTGGCTTCTTAGGGTTCAGGGGGCAGACCCCCGGGTTTGGCTCCTTAGGACCAGGGGGCTGACCCCGGGGTTTAGCTCCTTAGGGTTCAGGGAGCTGACCCCCGGGTTTGGCTCCTTAGGGTTCAGGGGGCAGACCCCCGGGGTTGGCTCCATAGGGTTCAGGGGCTGACCCCCGGGTTTGGCTCCTTAGGGTTCAGGGGGCAGACCCCCGGGGTTGGCTCCTTACGGCTCAGGGGGCTGACCCCCGGGTTTGGCTCCTTAGGGTTCAGGGGGCTGACCCCCGGGGTTGGCTCCTTAGGGTTCAGGGGCTGACCCCCGTATTTGGCTCCTTAGGGTTCGGGGGGATGACCCCCGGGCGTGGCTCCTTAGGGTTCAGGGGCCTGGCCCCCGAGTTGGGCTCCTTATGGTTCAGGGGGCTGGCCCCTGGGTTGGGCTCCTTACTGTTCAGGGGGCTGGCCCCCGGCTTTGGCTCCTTAGGGTTCAAGGGGCTGGCCCCCGGATCGGGCTCCTCAGGGTTCAGGGGGCTCGCCCCCGGCTTTGGCTCCGTAGGGTTCAGGGGGCTGGCCCCCGGGTTGGCCTCCTTAGGGTTCAGGGGGCTGGCCCCCGGCTTTTGCTCCTCAGGGTTCAGGGGGCTGGCCCCCGGCTTTGGCTCCTTAGGGTTCAGGGGGCTGGCCCCCGGCTTTGGCTCCGTAGTGTTCAGGGGGCTGGCCCCCGGATCGGGCTCCTCAGGGTTCAGGGGGCTCGCCCCCGGCTTTGGCTCCGTAGGGTTCAGGGGGCTGGCCCCCGGCTTTTGCTCCTTAGGGTTCAGGGGGCTAGCCCCCGGGTTGGGTTCCTTAGGGTTCAGGGGGCTGGCCCCCGGCTTTTGCTCCTCAGGGTTCAGGGGGCTAGCCCCCGGGTTGGGCTCCTTAGGGTTCAGGGGGCTTGCCCCCGGGTTGGGCTACTTATGGTTCAGGGGGCTGGCCCCCGGCTTTAGCTCCTTAGGGTTCAGGGGGCTGGCCCCTGGATTGGGCTCCTCAGGGTTCAGGGGGCTGGCCCCCGGCTTTGGCTCCGTAGTGTTCAGGGGGCTGGCCCCTGGGTTGGGCTCCTTAGGGTTCAGGGGGCTGGCCCCCGGGTTGGGCTCCTTATGCTTCAGGGGTCTGGCCCCCGGCCTTGGCTCCTTAGGGTTCAGGGGGCTGGCCCCTGGGTTAGGGTCCTTAGGGTTCAGGGGGTTGGCCCCCGGCTTTGGCTCCTTAGGGTTCAGGGGGCTGGCCCCCGGCTTTGGCTCCGTAGGGTTCAGGGGGCTGGCCCCCGGCTTTGGCTCCTTATGTTGCAGGTGGGAGGCCCCCGGAGTGTTGGGCTGGGCCTTTTCGATGACTCTGCTCTGATTCATAACCCGTATCCTGAAGTCAATGATTCGCCTTCAAATGGCCGGGTATGCAAAATGACTGCCGTGAAGCACGAATAGTGGTATCAGAATTTTGCATTAAGTTTATGGATAGATTTGAAGGCGCTCTTCTGTATCCATTGTGAGTGGCCTTGTACATACAACATTGATGTTGACCGAAAAGTTCTTAATTATGGGTTTTAAATCGAGCCCTTTATTCGAAAAATGCCGAGGAATAATAATTTGAAAAAATAATGAGATTGTTTTTGATCTCTCTGTCTTATTTCAAAGAAGAAAGCGTGGGCGGCTGGATCAGATAGTGTATTTTATGTCCCTTGGTTCGGTCATCGTATTCTGAAGCGAAACTGAATGAGTCGCCGTTTACAAGATCGCAACTTACTCAAAAGCGGTTGTGAATTTAAAATGTTTCGCACGGATAAAACGAGCTTTCGTCGATTAACTGTGAATAATCGAATTTGAAGAAAAGGTACTTTGTCCACTGGTCTATTAGGCAAGCGTAAAGCATTGCTCGATGGTGCATCAATGAATCTTATCTGATAAGGAATTTTAAGTGTGAAACCCTTTTTTCAGTCTTTAAATGATCCAAATCCACCAATAAGTTTAAAACACTAATTGCAAAAATGTGTGTCTCCTGATGAAGTGTCGATTCTTAGTGCCAAAAACGCAAATCTCGGCATTTCTGCCGTATTTTCGAACAGTTCGAGAAAGTATTTCAACCGCGGATGGAGTTTTAAGAAACATCTTATTCCTGCTATCCTCAAGAAATATTACCCTTCTTCCGACAATGAAGAGGAATTCAGATAGTTTTTTTGCTCTGCTGGTTAATCGTGTTTTCCGAGAATTGCTTTTCTGCACTTTTACCATCGATAACCATCGATAACGTGCCGTTTAGTATTGTTCAATTTACATTTGCTTTGGTAGTGATTGTGATCGTTCATTCAGTTTTTTTTTTCCCATTAATTTCTTCACAAACATTTTCAGGTATATATGTTGCAGGCAATTGGCAATCGCCGGCAAGGTGCAATCTATTCGTGTTTAATCAACAAATTAAATCGTTTTAAAGTGAAAAAACGAGATTGGAAGTAGGGATTATTATGCTTTGAATTCAAACATACGTTAGCCCCTTCTTCTCGGATACCTACATGGTGCCAGCTAGCACACTCGCGAGTTCGTGAAATGCCATCAATAATCTGTGTTAGGTTCGCTTAAGCAACTAAACTAACTCCTTGGCAATGCGGAGAGTATCGCTGGATTTGAAGGCGTAAAGAAATCTTTACTATATCGATGTAATCGTAATTAAAATTTGACGAATCGACAAGTACGGAGCTTGCAAATTTCCGGCGATTGCTGATTCCCTACGACTTATACTCTGATAAAGATTTCATAGATACGTATTTCCATCTTTAAGTTTACATGTACTTTTCTCTCTTCTAATCAACATGTGTGTTTCTTTTTTGTTTCTGTTGCATCCCTCGGAATTCTTGGATTCAAAAATCGATGACCTTCCTGGACATCGCAAATCGTCAATTAAAAAA